GTCCCATCAAAACGAGGACCCAACACCACAGTATGGTTGGGAGTAAAATGAGCCCGACGCGTTAAAACAAGACAGTCCCAGCCAAACATGTTCTGAGAACCTCGTGCAGACCACAATAGGCTTTTGAACCATTTCTTGGTGGGCCTATAGGCAAGCCAGGACGCTTCACCACTGCTTGAAGCCGTTGGCCGACTTCTGAAGCGAAGAACCCAAAGAAAATGCCAACTCTCGGGGGCGCATCTGCTACTTCCGCCAGGGCTTCCGCCTGCCCTCCACGGGCCTTCCGCCGGCAGAGGCGGCCTCCTCCTCCCCCATCCTCCTTCTCCTCCTCTGCCTCCTCCTCCTCCCCCTGCTCCTCCTCCTTCTCCTCCTCTGCCTCCTCTGCCTCCTCCTCCTTCTCCTCCTCTGCCTCCAATCATCTCGAGGTCTGCCTGCTGCCCCTGCCCTCCCTCGTCTTCCGAGGTGGTGCGTGGCAAACCGGTTGGGCGCGCGAGCTCGGCCCTGCCTCTCCGACGGAGGAGGCCTCGTTTATGCTAGGGAGTGGGCCCCGCGTTACGGTCCACATGTGCTGCAAAGAAGAGAGACGACACCTGATCTGCTAGGTCGCTGGCCCCGTCTTACGGCCAACATTTGATATACCTTCATACGTTACATACTCCGCACTTTCAGTTTTCCCTTGGACAGCGCATGTCCACATGATGTATCTTAGCAATTGTCTACACTTTGTGTACACTTGCGTTTGTAGTCCGGCGGGGACAGACCAGAGGATGTATTAACCCTGTAGTGTTGCCAGACGAAACACTTAAATCTGTACCGCATGACTTTGCCTGAACAAAATCCTCCCCCTCCTCCCCCTCCTCCCCTGCATCCCCGTACTCCTCCTCCTTCTCCTCCTTCTCCTCCTCCTTCTCCTCATCCTGCTCCTCCTCTTCCTCCTCCGTCTCCTCCTCCTCCTCCTCCTCCTCCTCCTCCTCCTCCTCCTCCTCCTCCTCCTCCCCCTCCTCCCCTCCTCCCTCCTCCCCCTTCCTCCTCCTCCTCCTCCTCCTCCTCCTCCTCCTCCTCCTCCTCCTCCTCCTCCTCCTGCATCCCCGTTCTCCTCCTCCTCCTCCTCCTCCTCCTCCTCCTCATCCTCCTCCTCCTCCTCCTCCTCCTCCTCCTCCTCCTCCTCCGTCTCCTCCGTCTCCTCCTCCTCCTCCTCCTCCTCCTCCTCCTCCTCCTCCTCCTCCTCCTCCTCCTCCTCTACTCCCGCCGCCTTCCGCCACGGAAGGGACGGCAACTCCGTCGACCTTCAAAGGCCACGGGAGACCTCCTGGACCGCCCCCTCTTGGCAGTCGCCGGCGCCTCCCCAGAGCAGCACCGGGCCCGGCGCGGAGGGCCGGCGGCCCCGCATCCGCCGCGCGGCGCCGGCGCCGAGGAGAGGCCGGGCGGGCGGCCTCGGCGGAGGCGGCTGGGGCCAAGACGGCTGCGGGGAAGGAGGGGGGAAGAGGGGATCGGAGTCGGAGGGAGGGAAGGAAAGGGAAGAAACATAGGAGAGGATAGGGGAGGGAAGGACAGGGAAGGACAGGATGTGGGGAGGGCAAGCGGAGGATAGGGGAGGAATAGGATAGGGTGAGGGAAGGATCGGATGTGGGGAGGGAAAGAAAGGGAAGGAACAGGGGAGGATAGGGGAGGGAAGGACAGGGAAGCTATAGGATGTGGGGAGGGTCAGGGGCAGCGGATTCGTCTGACCTCGCGAGGCGCCTGGGCCTCTCCTGACGCTTCGCCAGCTCACAACACGTCATGATGAAACATTACACTGCGCCATGAGGACCTGTAACAGGGTCTTGTGGGGCCGCCTGGCTGACAAGCATGATGCTGCACTGGCGGTCTGTGGCGACCCCATTTGCCGGCTAAGCTGGGGAGCCATCCCGCACTTCCAGAACCAAAGGAGATCCTCTTCTTCCCAGCAGTTGGCCCAAAAATTGAAACACGCCGAGGGGCCAATCCGCTTCCTCTTTGCCCTGGGCCCTCGGGAATGCCATCGGGCGAACAGCCCGGGGGACGGGATCGCAACGCGCCCGCGCCCTCCGCCTTGCCCCCCAGGGAGCAGGCACGCCGCGGGCGTACGCCACCCAAGGATAGGCATTGACGGAGGGAGCAGAGACTGAGGAGAGAGACGGAGGAGCGAGAGAGATGGAGGGAGAGAGAGGAGGAGAGAGGAGGGCAAGAGACGGAAGGAGAGAGACGGCGGAGAGAAGCGTTCGCCACCCAGGGAGGGAGGGGAGACGGAGGAGAGGGAGGCGGGACGACAGCAGACAGAAACAAAATGGACGGCCCGCGCTTCCCAAACCAGGTGCGGCCTGGCCAGGACTGCCGCGCGAGTCCGGCCGTGGCGACGAGGCCCTCTTCTCCCCCGTGTCGTCGAGAGCCCCCCCTCAGAGGTCCAACAAGCAAAGGACACGTCGATACCCGCTACCTTCTCTTTCTCCCCCTCGTCCCTCATGTTCCTCCTTCCTGCTCCTCCTCTGCCTCCTCGTCGCTCCTCTTCTTCTTCCTCCTCCTCCCTCCTTCCTCACCCTCCTCCTCCTCCTCCCACTCCTCCACCTCCTCCTCCTCCTCCTCCTCCTCCTCTCCCTCCTTCTCCTCTCCCTCCTCCTCTTGCTCCTCGTTGCCTCCTCCCTTCTGGTTGCTCCCTCCTTCCTCCAATACCACCGCCTGGCCTGCCCCCTCCTCGCCATTTATCGCCGTTTCGAGCTCGCCGGTGGTCTTGGTGTCATAACTCTCGGGCCTCAGGTGGCCTTTGGGGACCACTATGGCAGCTCCGGAAAGCTCGGGACGAAGCGCATCGGAGAACACATGTATTACCCCTTCTCTACTTTCTCTTCGAAGGAAGTGAAGTGCGGGATCGTCCCCCCCCCCCCCCGCAAGCACAGGATGGCCGCCAAGGCGTAGGAAAAAGGAACCCAACGAGGAGGGAGGAAGAGGAGTACAACGAGAGGAAGAGGAGGATGAGGAGGAGGAGGAGCAGGAGGAAGATGAGGAAGAGGAAGAGAAGGAGGAGGAGGAGGAGGAGGAGGACACATGTAAACCCAAAACGCATCAACGATGTTGCAAAAATCCCTCCCTCCAAATTCCCTCTTCGCAGGTCCCTGCAATGATATACTCAGCCCCGTCGGAGCACGACCGTCTGAGAATCCGCAATCGCGCCAGAACACCATTCCTGGGACTCCAACGCCGCGAATCAACGATGAGGTTGCCTCATGGCAAGCACGAGTCGTGCCAAGGCGTACCAGTCTTGGGATCTGAACAACGCGAATCAGCGTGACTGTTGCGCCATGACAATCCTTTCTTATATCGTGGCGTAGCACTATTCGTGGGACGCCAATCATAGCAATATTTGCGCATGCTGCAGACGTGTAAGACGAGTGTGCACGGCGCTCGAACGAGAACCACATCTTGAAAACAAAAACCGCACTCAATCCGTGAAACTGCTGCGAACCTTTAAACACGAATGTGCGGGGCATTCGGGCGGCTGCCACATTCTGAGATCTCCTGCAAGCTGTTAAAACGAACGTGCGCGGCGCCAAAGCGATAACCACATTCTGAAAACGGCCCGCCCTCCACCAGAGAAGCTCTCACAAACCTGAAGACGAAAGTGGGCGGCGCTAGGGCGGGAACCACATTCTGAAAACGACCCGCACTCCATCCGTGAAACCCTTGCAAATGTCAAGCTTCAGGATCAGACATGGTGTGGAAGTGTCAGGCGGAAACGCCCAGCCCGCCCTAAAGAGACGTCTCGGGGCGCGACAGAGAGGAGTGACGTACAGGGAATAGGGATTGAGGAGGAGGAGAAAGAGGAGGAGGAGGAGGATGAGAAGGATCAGGAGGAGGAGGAGAACCAGGATGAAGAGGAGAGTGGAAAAGAAGAGTGGACGAGAGAGGACGAATGAGGTACTGCAGATGATAGGAAGCGGGGGAGTGGAGCCAGGCGGGAGACGAAGAGCGAGAAACGCGAGGGGGAGGGATGGAGGAGACGAGGGAGAGGACAAGGAGGGCGAAAGGGAGGGAGGAGGCCACTCCCCGAATGTTGGGGAGATGTAATGCTCTGGTTCGGAAGACTTTGGTTGGCCCGACTGGGCCGCCAGAAAAACGACGACGACGAAAACGACGACGGCAACGACGACAACGACTGCAAATATTCCACGATAACTGGACCGTCAAAACCCAGGACGGGCTCGTCAGATAGAGCGGCGGCGAGCTCGAGTTTCGGCGCACTCGAGTCTTACGTTTCCCCGAAAAGGGGGGAGAACGAGTATGTCGTCCCGCCGCCTCCTCCACCTTGGGGGGGGCCGCGGGGTCTGAACTGGATCGGCCCCGAGAAATCTGTCAAGAAGGGGGACAAGGGCAAATCTGGTGCAAATCGTTTTCCGGGACCCCTCCTGGGGTCCATCTAGCACAACTTTTCACCCCAGACCTGTTTCTGATGGTCGCGGGGCCCGAAAACGGCCCGCGGAGGCCGGAAAAGGCCAACAACCTGGTCGAACTCAGCGATTCGAACCTGTTCCCCCCATCCCTTTCCTGCTCGCCGAAACCAGTGCTGAACCACCTCAGGCTCCCAGCCGACTCCAACTCGGCTACACGTAAGAGTGCCCCTAGGCAATAGTGACCTTTGGTGCGCGACTTTCGGGGGCCACGGGGTGGCCAAACCCCAGCGAACAAGACGCTGCTATTGCATCACGGTCTACCATCTGGGAACCCGAATGTGCCCGCACCAAAGTCACTCGGGCGAAAGGTCACTCTCACGTCCAGTCTGGGGAGACGACGGGGTACCTATACCGCTACTCCCCGGACCTCTCCTGGGGTGCGTTCTGACCAGAACTCCGAGGGCCTCCGAGGGAGCCCCCCAAAACGGGAGAACGGGCGAAGGGTAGCGGGATGGGTACCACCACCTCCTCCTCCTCCTCCTCCTCCTCCTCCTCCTCCTCCTCCTCTGATCGTCGACCCAGCCCCCTGCGCCCCTCCGTCGTGGCAGCCGTACCAGCACCAAGTCTCCGGGCTCGCGTCCGAGAACGAGTCCAGGCAATCGCCTCGCCGCCACCGTCAGGTCGGGCATGCCCTCCTACAGGCGGATTTTGGAAGACAAATGACAAATGGTCAAAGAACAAAACAAATAGTCAACAAAAACGGAAAACTCGTCCCCGGACATGCCCGACTCAACGCCGCCGCCGGCCCGCATGGCCCGCGCGCGCCTAGCCCCTGGCGTCCGCCGGGGGCGGCGCGGAGGCCGCGCGCGCGCGTGGCGGGGCAGTGCGCGCGCGGGAGGGCACGATCTGCCAGCGTCGCATCGGGAAAGTTTACTCCCCCGCGGCCACGCCCGCGGTCCACAGGTGGCGTTCGGCCTTGGGTAGGCTCTCCGCTCGCGCGATGGCAGCCCGTTCTTGCGCACCGGTGAGGCCCCCCCCACTCTTCACGAGAAGTCCTAGGGAGGCCTGCAGCAAAGTACACGAAGCCGCGAAGAACTGCGAATTGGGAAACCAGATCGAATCGGAATGTGAGTCGGATCGGGCCGCATCGGCACGGAGCCCGAATCGAATCAGACCGGAGGAGCCAAGGCGCACCATAGAGCCATGCGGGCGTCGGGCAAGATCGGATCAAGCGAGAACCCAAACATGCGACGTCGCGATTTTGTCAGAACGGGGTCCCCGCAAGTCCCGACACTTTCCCCGGGACCGGCTTTTCATCCTGAGTCGTTTCTTGACGGTCCTGAGGCCCATCGGGGGCCCCTCGAGGCCGAAATTGGCCAAAAACCTCCCGTCTTGTTTTTGTAGACGCGATCACGCCTTGGAATCGGAATCAAAGCGGATCGGGCCGGCCAGCACCGGCAGCGAATATCGGAGCGACGGGGTCGAAGGGCACCCTGCGGGAGGGGCCGCCTCGGCTGCCCGCGCAGGGCAGGCGCGGAGGCGCAGGGAGGGGAGCGCACCCAGGGAGGGGCCGTGGGGCGGGTCTGTGCCGTGCCGACCCAGTCGTTGGCTGCTTTGGGGGGCCCCCAAAGGGGATCCAGCTGCCCAGCTGAAAGAGGTGCTGCGATAGATTTCGGGCAATTGGATCGCAAGTGTATGGCGCAGCGTTGCATTGCAAGTAATGTGTTGCACGCGAAAATCCAGCAATACCTTTGCGCCCCGGCATGTTTTGCACGCCCCAACTGTGCTGGACGCCCCAAATGTTGCACCACCTCCCTTGTCGCTAGACACCCTTCTGGGTCAACCCGAGTTTCCGAAACCGCGTGGGTGGTTCAACCTTGAGCTACGTAGGTCGGACGTGTCCTCCTACAGGCTGATGTTTGAATTCGCCGGCCCAACGGGCCAGAGGCCCAAGAGACGCCCAAGACGGCCCAAGAGAGCCCCAAGACGGCCCCAAGAGGGGCCCAAGCTGGGGACCACGAACCGAAACCTCAAGCCGTCCGCCCGAAGAGGGCCCCAGGAGGCCCCGAGAGGCCCCCAAGATGGCCCAAGATGCCGCCAAGAGGCCCCCAAGAGACCCCAGGAGGCTCCAAGGAGGCTCAAAAGAGGCCCTACAAGGCTTCAAAAATGTTTCCCAGGCGCCCCTGAACGGCCTCTCAACAGACCCCAGGGCCTCCCAAAGAAGCACCTGGACGACGGCCCTGTTTGGCCCCAAGAGCGCCGCAAGATGCCATCGAGAGGCTTCCTCCTCCGCCCCTTTCTCTTCCTCCTCATCCTCCTTCTCCTCCTCCTCATATCTATCTTCATCCTCCTCCTTTCCTTCTCATCCTCTTCTCCTCCTCCCCTCCCCCTCCCCATCCTCATCTTCCTCCTTCCGGCGGCGCCGAAATGGCCCCGAGCCCGCGCCGAAGCAGTAGCGATCATGCAATACGGGCCGGCGGAGTGAGCGAAGCGATTGAATACATAACCAGAACGTGCTCCAAACATGCTCAAACATAGTCAAGAAATCGTCCCCAGACTATGTTGTGACTATTGTTGCATACCCCTCATGTGGAGGGACGGGCCCGACTGAAACCTTGCGCGATGGGCGCCTCGCCGCTCGCCGGATCGTTTTGCAGCTACTGGCCGACTCGGGGCCTCCGCCGCGCCGCCACGACACGAGCCTGCCGCATACAGGCAAAACAGTACGGTGGGGGCATGGGATAAGGAACCCTTCGATCAGGAATCCAGGGTCTGGAGGCCAGTAGAACTCCAATCGAGGCTAGGCCATTGATGTCACCGCCGCCTTCATCAGATCAGGAATCCTTCCGGGTCTGAAGCCACCTAGGCACATTCCTTGACCAATGCCACCGCCGTAGAGCAGTGTTTTGCCAGATGATCGTGAAATCCTGGCAATTGGGCTCGTTCCTTACCCGGACCTCGCGTAGCTCTGGTTGCCCTTCGTCCCGCATCCCCATGAAGTGAATGGGAGGACGGACAAAACAATAGAACCGTGTTTTGCCACATGATCGTGACATCCTGGCAACTGGGTTCGTTCCTTATCCGGCTCACTGGTAGCTCTGGTTGATCTTCATCCCGCATCCCCCCATGAGGTTAATATGGGAGGACCCTTGTCGCTCACGCACACCACAGCTCCAATCTTCGGTATCCATGAAGCTACGGGGAGCAAGGAAAGACGAGCGCACGGGCATGCGCTTTCCCGCTACGCGCAGACTGCACCTTGGTCCTCAAACAGTTGCGGAAACTCGCAATGTTGTCCAAGCAGCCGCAGCAGCCAACGTCAAACGGATGGTAGGCGGCGACGGCAGGTATTAGCGGCAGAGGCAGCACAGGGAACGACTTCCCCCGCGGCGTTCACGGTGCCACCTTACCCTCGCGTTCCAATCTCCAGCACACCTCGTCAGAGCGTGCACGCCCCAAAGACCGCTCTACAGCGCAGCCCGTGCCACTTCGTGCTAACTCCTGCGGCAGAGGCTTGGGCGAAGTAGTTCGACGTAGCTTCCCGTGGTTCGACAGGCAGCGAGTCGCGGCCCAGGGGCCGTGGATGCAGATACGCCTTCCGCCCACGAGAGGCGCGAGCGTTGAGCGCTTTGGACTTCCCGTTCGGGGCGTCCGCGTCCAGACCTTGGGATCTCAAAGCTGATCCAACTGCGGCGACGAGGGACCCTGCTGGGTGGCCCCCTATTCTTGAACATTCTACAACACGGAAAAGTCAGGATCCCCGCCTCTCTTCCTCCTCCCCCCTCATGGTTCGAGCCATGGATCCCAGGCAGCTGCCCTGGACGACGGCGGAGAACTAGCTGCACTCGGTGCTCACGAAGACCCCAGCAAACCGCTCGGGTAAGCGAGTAGTCGCGGTCTTTGAACACGGTTATCCTTTTAGCTACCATGGTGCGGAAACCATATTGCTGCATTTCTACCTCCTCCCTCGGCGGAGGCTGGATCGCAGTCCCTGGAACAGGCAAGTCTGCTTCAGATCACCCTCTGTATCCTCCGTGGAGGGGAGTGCGCAAAACGGATTGCTGATCTTCCCCCCTCTCTCGGGGGACAGCCCGAGGAGGCTTGCTGAAGACATGTGGAACCTTATCTGCCCACCTTGGCCAGCCAACCGTGCCATGTGAGGACGCTCCATGGCCATGGCCAACCCGAGGCTACCCGAGGCCACATCCATCCACTCCGTCACCTGAAGTTCTTGCGAGGCAACTCCGAGGCCATCTTGACGTCGGGTCAACCCCTCCGCACATGCCACGCAATGAAACGATGTGGCAAAAGGCGTGATCAAAGCAACACCTTTCGGAGGTCTGTGCGGACAGCCGTCGTCGGCGCTGACCTCCCTCCCCTGACTTGAGCAGGGACCGACCGTCTTGGAAATCCGACTGGCCTACCACGAAATATTCTTAGAACCCGAAAAGGTTCTAACAACAAAAACGATGTTCTTAGAAAACGAACCCGATGTGTTGAAACAAGCCGTCTCAACCAGAAATATTATAAGAGCATGTCGTGCAAACCACACCATTTCCTTATAACATGTTTTCGTGGGCCCACAGGAGAGGCCGGGACGCTTCGCCACGGCTCCCCTGACGCGGGAAGCGCGCCAGGGCCAGCGCCGGGGATGCGGGGGGCCCAACGCCGGCCCAAGACATCCGCACAGGCCTCCGACAGTCTGCAGTGATGGGAGGGGGCGCCCGACGCACGCGGGGCCGGGCCTCCCTCGGCCTTCTTGATGTGTCCGCCCTGCATGACGACGACGGCGCACCTGGCGCCCGCGCCCGGCGCAGCTCCAGCGGGGGCGCTTCGCCTGGACGCTCTTCCCTCCGTCCTCCGCCCTGCTCTTCCACTCTCCGTCCTCCTACTCCTCCTCCTCCTCTTCCTCCTCCTCCTCCTCCTCTTCCTCCTCCTGCTACTCCTCGTGCTCCTCTTCCTCCTCCTCGTCCTCGTCCTCCTCCTCCTCCTCCTCCTCCTCCTCCACCTCCTCCTCCTCCTCCTCCTCCTCCCTGTCCTTGCGCAGAATTGGGTGGGACATGGCTTCGCCTCATTTGCTCACTAACGATGGGGGCGAACGTGTCTCCCAGTATGATTGCTGTCCCTGTGAGTTTGAGAGTTTAGTCAGATGGAGGTGTCGAGCGTTGGTTGTGCTCCGCATCCCTTTCCACTGGCCCGAGGCGTTTGGTAGCGAGTCGTGTTAGGCTCGAGTGATGTGCCTGGCCATCCTGGCCCTCTGAAAGCCAAATTCGGAGAACTCCCAGGAAGGTTTCAGACGGCTCCGCGTAGCGAAAGATGGGCTGACCTCTAAGCGGTCTCTCAAGGGCTCGCTGGAGGCGAGCCGCCTGTCACCACCAGCGATCACCCTTACTTTGTGCATGAAGAGCAGTACTGGGACCCCAATCTGGAGGTCGGCTGAACCTCGCATTCGTCGATCTGTCGCAAAAAACGTGTCGAGACCAAGATATTCGGCATTCGTTCTGCTGGACTCCCGCGCATCGTGCGCTTGAGGGGTTAATCGAGAGCGGGGCCGATGCTGGTGACATCTGGAGGTTCATGGGTAATGCATGGTCCGATTTCTTTGCATGGCTAGGTACCCACGACATTGCTGTGGCTGGTGTTGCTGCGAACCCTGCTCGTCGCCGCGACCGCGATTGGCTGGCAGCTCGCAGACATCCAGCTACGGGAATAAAACATCGATGCTAACTCGATTGGCTTTGTGTGGCGCGTGCCCCTCTCGGATTGGCGTCACCCCGAGTTTCCTCCTCTCATCTGAATCGTCTGGGTTCTGTCTTCGGACGGCTCCCTGCTTTATGGCTCGCTCCTCCTCCTCCTCCTCCGCCTCGTCCTCCTCCTCCTCCTGCTCCTCCTCCTCCTGTCTCTCTTCCCTCATTCCTCCTCTCCCCTCCTCCTCCCCACCCTTCCTCCAGCCGTCCTCCCTCATCCTCCATACCCAATGCGACAGCCCGAAGTCTTCTCTCTCGCCGTTTCCCTGATGCTGGGCCGTGCTGGGGCGGCCCCCTCCCTCGCATGGCCTTTTCCGCAACAGGTTTTGCGGTCAATAGTTGTTCCCCGTGTAGGACTGGTCGGTCCATATTGTCGTCCCTCAAAGTTGATACCTCACATATCATGGCCCCCAATATTTTGCTCCACAATATTGAACGTTCAATTTTTGCTCCCCAATATTTTGGTCCCTAAAATCTGGTGCTACCGCTGTAACGTTGGCCGCACTGCAGGGGGGACTTCTGCTCCCGCCGTTCAGGATCTGCGCTCTCACCCCGGCGAGGGCCAGATGTCTGGATCCGCTTCGTTCCTCCCCGTTGCCATCCCCCTTCTGTTTCCCTCCTCCACCTTCACCTGGTCCTCCAGCTCTTCATGCCCTTGGTTACTTGTTGGACTCCTTCCTCATCATCTTGCTCTTCTTCGTACTCATCCGCCAGCTCCTCCTCCTACTTTTCCTCCTTCTCTTCCTCCGCTTCTTCCTTGCATGTGCAAAATCCCCCATGTTGATTGCACATTACACGATGGCGTCATTCTTAAGATCAAGGTCATCTAAGACAATCCGGCCAGCGACTGAAACAAAAACGGCTTCCCTTACAACCCCATTATTCCCCTTTGGGAGGGGTTTACCCCTCCCGGGCCCCTCCCCCTCTCCCTCCACTGGACCTAGACGGGGGGGTTCGCGAAGGGTTGGAGCGTGGCGCGAGATGGCTCCAAGAGCGCCTGGAAAGAGCCCAAAATGAAGTCTAAGATAGCTGAAGCTAGCGCAGGATGGCCCAATCTTGCTTCCAATATGCTTCAAGAGGCGCCAAGAGTGCCCCAAGACGGCTAATTGTAAGTGGTCCGGAAGCTCTCCAAGAAGGCCCCCAAGAGGCCGAAATCGGTGAAGCCTGAGGAAACTCGCGATGCTTGCTTTCACGTTTTTTCGCCCCAAGATGGCTCCAAGCTGACCCCAGAGAGAGCGCCCCAATTGGCGAGTTTAGAAGTTCTAGAGGGACAGCGCTAACTAAGGAACACCTTTGTGTTGATCGATGTTTTCCAAGATGTCCCCAAGACCGCCCCTCAAGCTCCCGAGAGCGCCTAAACAGACCCTAAGAGGCGCCCAGCCCGAGAGGCCTCCAAGAGGCTCCCAAGAGACACCCAAGAAGCCCCAAGAGGATCCCGAGTCATCCAAGACGCTCCAAGAGGCCCCCTGGGCGCCTCGCCTGGTCATCGTTTCTGGATGGGCTGGTGGATTTGTTGGAAGCGGCGTCCGCGAAGTCAACCCGGGCCACGAGCGAAACCTGAATGCCTAGCGCGCACTAACGGCCGCCGGAGCTGCCGCCGACGAGCGGCGGGCGACGCCGGAGACTGAAGGCAGGGCTGCAAGAGCTGCCAGGTGTGCCAGGCGGCTGAAGGGCAACCACCCCAGGGGAGAGACCACCAGGAAGGCAAATGAATCGTACCTTGTCGCACCAGGCGCCAGAGGTAAATGTGCCACCGAGCATAGCACGGCATAGCGCGGGGCTGAGCAAGCAGTCCAGCGTCCCTGTGTCGCATGCCAACAGTGGCAGTCTCAAGTGGTTGAACAAGAAAGCTAAACCACTCATGAGCAATCCACGTGGAGGCATCCCACCACTGCAAAGCGGCAGCGGCAAACACGGCCAGGCTGTGGCAGTGTCTGGGGACCAGGGGCCAGGAACATGCAAGTGTGCTAGCTGGAGCTGTTCGACATGCAAATCACCCCGACGCCAGGGTTACTTCACCAGGCTCAAATGAACCAGCACGGACACCATCAGACGCCAGGGACGGAGGGCGAGGCTGGTGGGGTTACTTTGATTCGCCGCGACCGCAGGCGAGCGCGCCAACGGCGAGAAGGGTCGAGCGGGCCACGCGCGAGCCGAATTGCCTAACGCCGACGAGCCGGCGGCCGAAGCAGCACCTAAGCAGGCCGGGCAGCGCGAGGGGGTGCGGGGGCTGCAGCTGCCAGGAACCGGGCCCAGGAGCGAGCGCATGCAAAATTAACCAACCGAGGCTGGAGCGCAGCCAAAATGGCGCGGGGGCGGTACCAGGATGTGGCCAAGAGCACCATCACTAGGAACGCTGACGCCAGCTGGGCCAGGTGCGTGGAAGTGGCGCCACCAAAGTCGCACAACGAGACTCCTGAAGGGCGTACAGGTCCGGACGCTGGTGTTTTTTTTTTTTTGCGTTGCGGCCGCAGGCGACAGCGCCAGCGGCGAGTAAGGTCCGAGCGGGCCGCGCAAAAGCCTAATTGCCTAACGCCGACGGGCCGGCGACCTAAGCAGCACCTAATCGGGCGGGCCGGCGTGGGGGGGGGGTGCGGGCTGCAGCTGCCAGGATCCAGGACCAGGAACGCGCACATACACGATTAACCGACCAGGGTTGGAGCGGCCAGGAAGACCACCACCAGTACGCTGCACCAGCTACCAGGAGACTTACTGGCCATAAAACTAGTGCATAGGGTGGGTTGGGGGGGTTACTTTTTTGATTCGCGGCCCGCAAGGAAAAGTCCAGAGGGCGGTGTGAACGAGGCTGGGGCACAGCTGGGGGGGGGCTGGGGGGGGTACTTTTTTATATTATTTTTTACAGCCGCAGGCGGAAGCGCCAGCGGCGGCGGGTGCTGGGGGGGTTACGCGAAGCGTCTAGAATTTACGAATCAAGCTCATCTAAGACACCCCAGCCGGCGAATAGAACAACATTCGGCGCAATGGGAACACATGGGTGGGAGCGGTAGGATGTCAGACCTGGCGCGAACGCGCCCAATTAGTTTGCCTCTCCCTCCTTTCTCCTCTTGTCTCCCTCCCTCCTCCACCTTCTTCAGGACACCCGGGGCGCCCCCAAGACGCCCCTGGGCCCCGGGGGACACCCGTTCCAAATTGTACCGCAAGCATGATAAGCAGAGAACGCATTCCCGAACGCCCACCTCAGCTTGTCGCTTTCAACATCTCCAAAGGCGTTGACTGATGGACCTCGTGGTCTCGATCAGGCTCCGTGCGACACGAGAAACTCAGTCGCCTTCGAGCCCCCTGCTTGGAAGAATCGGGGGGAGGGACGGAGGAGGTGAAGTTGCTCTCGGAAGACGCAGCAGCTGCCACATGCTGGCTCCAAACGTCGGGAGTGTGCGCGACCGACTTGGGACGTTCGCTGCACCCGCCGCCTTACTCTTCTCCATCCACGGCCACCTATTCCTTCTTCCCCTACCTTGCCTTTCTTCTTCTGCACGGAATTGCCACGCTGCGTGCTGTATCGAGTGTCATTGACCATGTGTGCGACGCTCCGGGCATCACCGAGGGCAATGTGGCGGGCATGTCTGAACTCGCTCCCCCGATCCTCCTTCTCCTCCCCATACCTCCGACGTCGCGATCTTTCGACAACGTGTCGGCGGTGGACAAATCTCCCTTTAGCAAATCACCCTTTTATGAAAACGGCCTAGGACCGAAACCGACGGACCTGGACCCGCAAAAATGACGGCCGCGACGCCCTCTCGCGAACCGAAAACGGCCAATTCGCTAATCGACGTCCGGGTAGGAGGTTTATCAACCTCCGAGGTGGGCCCCTGGCACTCTCGACCTCATCCGTGGGAACGTTCTTGTTCGTGGCGTTATGTGTCGATGGTCAGGTGGCGTGGAAGCGGCCGAGAACAAGAGAGCATATTTTTCTTGAGGGCGGCGTTCGACAACAGTAGCAGCCCTGTGAATTCTGGGGCCCGCAGTGAGACATGAGAGCATGCAAGCGCACAGAGGATCGCGAGGCGCAGGGATGAAGCAGAGAGGGAAGGAGGTGAGGGCCATCCTGGGGGTGGGGACACAATGTCCCAGACATGCGACGTCCTGATTGTTTCAATACGGGATACCTGGAAAACCCGACCCGTTCCTCGAGACCGGTTTTTCACCCTGAGCCGTTTTTGTTGACGGTCCCGATGATGGGATTGTTTTCTACCCCCATCACCACCATAAGTTGGAGGGAGGAAGGAGGTGGAGGACGAGGAGGAGGAGGTGGAGGAAGAGGAGGTGGAGGAAGAGGAGGACCCCCTCTGTCACCCGAGGCCCGGCGAGGGCCCCCCGAGGCCGAAATTGGCCAAAAACTCCCCGTCCTGACTTCTTTACGACGCCCTCATGTCTGGGGTGGACTCCTCCTCCCAAAGACGCTCAGAAGGCTCGGTGCTGCCGGGCGGCGCCGCGAGCCCACGCTCACAGCCACATTGGCTCACGCGCCGGCCCAGGTCGCCAGCGCGGCGCACGCCACGAGCAGCGCGGCGCCGGTCCTGGACGCGCCGCGCGTCGCCCCCGACGTGCCGCGTGCCTGGAAGAGCTCGAGCACGGACAGGCTGTCGACGTTCGGGGCGTCCACGAACTTCGTCAGCTCATGAGTGTTGAGGTTCTGGGCGGGGATCTGGTACAGGACGCCAGCGTCCTGAGACAAGCGCGTTCCATGACTTAAAGTAACTACTCGCGAATGGTCCGGATCCGCCGAGAGGGATTTGCGATACATTACGTCGAGGCAGGCGTTTTTGTTTGACCTGTTGCGAGTAGGCACTGTGCGAGAAATGGAACGCGCTCGGTGAGTCCTGCTCCGTGAAGTACAGGCTGGCGTCGCCGTCGAACGCGATGCTCTTCGGCATCCACGCCCCGTCGCCGCCGCCGGGGGCGGCGGCGACCATGCCCTGGGGTGCATCGCTCATGCCCTTGCGCATGCCGTGCACCCCATCCGGCGCCACCCAGAAGACGTGAGTCCCGGTGACGGTCATGCCGCGGACCTCGCTGAAATCGCTGTTCAACGTCTTCAGCTCCGAGTCCTGGGCAACGGTGCCGCTGTCGTGCCGGGGGGCCTGGACGATCGACCCGTGGACGGTGCCGTTCGCCTCGTTGCCCCAGTACACGTGGAAGGCGTCCACGGCGAGCCCCGCGGGCGCCCAAGCCATCGCGTTCGGGCTGCCGCTGTTGGACCGGGAAAAGATCTCTGTTGGATCCACGGTGCCCCCAACGCCGATGTGGCCGGCGGTCTGCCTGAAGACGGACTCGCGGTCGGCGCCCGTCTTCCGGCCGATGAAGTACAGGTCGCCGACGCCGTTTGCGGACATCCAGCTGGCCGTGCAATTCGCCACGGCGACCGCCCGCTCGCCCGTGGTCTCGAGGAGGCCGGCAGGCCCCTTTGTGAGGTGGTACCACCAGATAACCTGGTTGGGAGGGTCGGCCACGAACAGCCTGCGGTTGGTCGAGTCCGTTGCCACTGCGCCAGGCTCCGAAACGTTGCCGATGACCAACGGGCGCCAGACGTTGTCTGGCAGGTGCACGTAGGCAACCTGCTTCAACTTTGGGAACGACGCGACCAAATACCTGTTGAGCAGGGGCCGACCGTCCCGGCATTCCTACAGGCATACCACGACATGTTTCTAAAACCCAAACAAATTCTAAGAACGAAAACAATGTTCTTAGAACGTTAATCCGATGAGTTGAACCAACACGGTCTCGGCCAGAAATGTTCTAAGAACATTTCGTGAAGACCACGACAGGTTTGTAGAACATTCTTCGGTATATAGGCGAGCCAGGACGCTTCGCCACTGCGTGAGCCTGGCAGAGGTGGACGTCGAGGCGGGGCTGTAGTCCTGCTGCACGCCGCTGACCGTCGCCCCGATCTTTGGGGGATCGGCCACCCGCAGACGTTGGGGCTGCATTGAGAGCCTGCCCGCGGAGGCGGCCGCCACCGGTGACGCCGCCAGCTGCACCGCCGTTGCCCACAGGGCGAGCGCGGCGCCGGAGAGGCGGGAGGCCGGCATCTGCGGCTCTTCCCTGGGCCCTGGGCCCCCTGCACAAGGACGCAGGCGCAGCAGGCTTCAGATGCAATCGCTATCTGACGAGGAGCATCGCTGCATATGGAACCAAATGTGGCTGGCTTGAGACAGAACAGCCACGGACTTTGAGAGCACAAGAGAATCGGAGGTGAGGGGGTGAGATCGAAGTGGAACAGAGAGCCCCCCTACCGGGAAATCGGTTTCGGTTTCGTGTTCGTGCGTGCCGTGCGTGCGGGCGAGGCGAAGCTGCGTGGGCGGGCGAGAAGAAAGTCTCCTCCAGCTGAGGCGCGGCCGGACCAAATGATTCCTTCCCGGGGGCCGGTGGCCCGCGATGTCCCTCCGGTGTCCAGCCTCCGGCTGAGGCGCGGCTGGACCAAATGTTTCCTTTCCGGGGGCCGGTGCCGCGCGGTGTCCCGCCGGTGTCCCGCCGGTGTCCCGTCGGTGTCCCGATGATGATGATGATGATGATGATGATGATGATGATGATGATGATGATGATGATGACGATGACGATGACGATGATGATGATGATGATGATGATGATGATGATGTCGATGAAGTTGATGATGATAACTTTGATGATGATGATCATGATGATGATGATGATGGTGATGGTGGTGATGATGGTGTCCCCATGACGATGATGTGATGTTGACGATGATGATGATGATAATGATGATGATGGTGGTGGTGGTGGTGATGATGATGGTGTCCCAATAATGATGATGGTGGTGATGGTGATGATGTTGCTGAAGATGATGAAGGTGCCCCGATGCTGATGATGATGATGATGATGTTGATGATACTGATGATGAGATGATGATGAGATGATGATAAAGATGATGATGATGGTGTCCCGATGATGGTGATGATGAGGTTGACGATGATGCTGTTAGTAATGATGGTGATCATGATGGTGTCCCGATGATGATGATGATTATGTTGATGATTATGATGATGACGATGATGGTGTCCCGATGATGATGATATTGATGATGAGGATGATGATGACGTGATGATGATGATGGTGTTGATGATGGTGGCCCGATGATGGTGATGATGATGCTGATGTTGATGATGATGGTGACCCGATGATGATGATGGTGATGATGATGGTGACGACGATGATGGTGTCCCGATGATGGTGATGATGATGCTGATGATGATGTTGCTGATGACGATGGTGTCCCGATGATGATGATGATGATGCTGATGATGATGATGATGATGATGATGATGATGGTGGTGTTCCGATGAAGATGATGATGGTGTCCCGATGCTGATGATGATGTTGATGATGATGGTGACGATGATGGTGTCCCGATGACGATGGTGATGATGATGATGATGTTGATGGTGATGAGGTGATGATGGTGGTGTCCTGATGATGGTGATGATGATGGTGCTGTTAATGACGTTGGTGACGATGATGTTGATGATGATGATGATGACGTTGATTGTGAGATCGGTCGTAATATCGATAGTGAGATCGATAGTGATACCGAATGTGAGATCGATTGTGAGATCGGTAGTGATATCGATAGTGAGATCGATTGTGAGATCGACAGTCATATCGATTGTGAGATCGATCGAATACAATAGATCGAGTGAGATCGATTGTGAGATCGATCGAGTGAGATCGATCGAGCGAGTCCGATAGTGAGATCGATAGTGGGATCGATAGTGAGACCGATCGAGTGAGACGTTGGTTTCTCCCCCCCCGAACCTCCTTATCACCCGAAGGGTGGTCGTATAGGTATGAAATTACATGTCTTCTTCGAAGCGTCTCAATGTATGCGCCTTTCCCACCCTCCCCTCTCTCTTGTCAGCCCGATGCAGCTGCATATTGCGCCAAGCGTGACCATCTCCTGATATCCTACGCGCCGCGGGATGGACGGATATCGGGCGCCTGTGGGGCACGCTCCGCGTGAGTGGTGTGCCTCGGTGGGCCTGGGGACGCCATGCGAGTTACCCTTCGGGGGGCCTTGGTGGAGCTCCCCAAGGGAGCACGATCCTCGCGAAACTTGGCGCGGGCACGTGATGTGAGTGCCGCCACTGGGGCTATAAGTCGAGCTCCCCATGGGGGCGCGCGATTCTCACGAGGGGTATACTGAAATGGTCACGGGGCCGTTATGCGAGTTCCTCCACTGGGGCCACAGGTGGATCTGCGTGAGGGGTGCGCCGAAACAGGCGTGGGGACGCCGTGCGAGTTCCCTCACCGGGGCCAGAGGTGGAACTCCCCATGGAGGCAGAAAGGAGCGCAGCAGGAGCGCAGCCGAAGCAGCAGGCATGAGAGGAGGGAAGAGTAGGATGACAAGGAAGATGATGATGATGATGATGATGATGATGATGATGATGATGATGATGATGATGATGATGATGATGATGATGATGATGATGATGATGATGAGGAGAAGAAGGAGGAGGAGGAGGAGGATAAGGAGGAAGAGAGGGAGGGGGAGGAGGATGGGGAGGAGGAGGACGAGGAGAGAGAGGACGAGCGGGAGGAGTAAGGTGAAATGCGGCTTGCTGCGGATCCAGAACGAGGACCCAACAAGTAGGAGGTCCGGGAAACACGCGAGGACGAGGGGGAGGAGGCGAGGTGGAGAATCCAAAACGAGGCTTCAACACACAGGGGGGTTGGGAAGACTCCTCCTCCTCCTCCTCCTCCTCCTCCTCCTCCTCCTCCTTCTCCACCTTCTCCTCCTCCTCCTCCTAAGACGAAACCACGACCAGGACGACATCGGACCGGGACACATCGGGGATCTGAGAGATCCGGCGGCTCTGGAAGATGGTGAACTTTTTCTTATTAGGCGTTTCGACATTGGGCGGAAGGGGGGGGGAGGGGGGGGGTCTGGCTCTGGACCTCTGCTTAGAGCGACTGTTTGAGAAAGTGCGTCCTATGGGGGAGACTCCCCCTGCTCAAACAGGCGCCCCAAACAGGCAAGATCTACTCCATGGGGGCGGGCGAGGAGGAGGGGGGGCGACGGGCCCGCGCCAATCGGCAAAACAATGAATAAAACACGTCACATGTATCGCGCGCCGCGGCCGTTCCAAGACGCGCTGGAACGCTCTGAGCGCGATCCAGGACGCTTTGGAACCATGCTTCCCAGTCCTGGGCCCGCCCGACCTCTTCCTCCTCCTCCTCCTCCTCCTCCTCCTCCTCCTCCTCATGCTCCGACTCGCCCTGGCCAGAGGATGGTGGGTGCGCACATCGACTTGTCGCTGGTCAAACCGCCATCATCGCTGATGCACCTCGCCGGTGTGGGAGGCGGGGGGATACCGTCACCTTCCGTCGCCTCGTCCTCCTTCTTGCCAGCCGAGCCCTGCAAAACCTGCCTGGCTCTGGAAGACCGGGATACGCCGGCATTGACCACTCGTGGGAAATCATCTGAGCACGGTATCATGTACCATACCATGTCTGGACTCCCTTCAGGCCTGGCTCCAGCGCGGTACGGTGCACGATTTTCCTGCTCGGATGGGCTAGAATTAGGTCGGAGCATGTCCTCCTACAGGCGGATTTTGGAGGACAAACAAAAAACATACAAATATTTAAAACTAGTCAAACAGATTCGAAACATCGTCCCCAGCCTTTGTTTGTTGTGTGTGACTAGTTTGGAATATTCCTCCTGTAGAGGGGCATGCCCGACTTAAGTCGACAACTGTGCACTGTACCATGCCCAGGTCGAGGATCGACGACGCCTCGCAGAAGAGGCCAAACCGGCTCGTTGTACACGGGTCGCCCGCGGAAGCCAAGAATACAGCAGGGACCACAAGAAACCAAACCTTCCTCCTCCTCCTCCACTTCCGCAAGAAACCCAGCCCTGAGACCCCAGGACGCCCATCGATTTTTGGTCTGGGGGCACCGCGCTTTCGATTGTAAAACCATCGAAGCACGAGCAACCCATGGCACCCTGGAGGCAAGCAAGGTGCTTCTTGGCATGGGCCTCCTCTGTATCTCTCTCGCCGGCCTCCACTGGCCTCCCGCCGGGAGAGCCGAGCCAACCTCGTCCTGCTCGCGCCGCTCTCTCCACTCCCGGGCCTTCCGCCTGCCTCTTCCGAAAACAAGGACTGTGACGGGGACGGGGCCCGTCGGGGACGCACCGACCCGGGTCAATGCAAACCTGGGTTAATCAGGCCTTGCGGGATCCTGCAGGATCTTGCAAGATCCTGCACCCAGGCCCGGGTCAATGCGCCCCTGGCCCTGCAGGATCCTGCAGTGTCCGGCGCCCTGGCTGACCCCCGTTTGCATTGACCCCCGTCTCGAGGCTCCCGAGCCCGCTTCGATCGCTGGACTCCGGCGGTCAGCTCCACCTGCGGCCGTCGATCGGGCCACCGGCCGTTCCAGAGCAGTCCACCCGCACAGGAAGGATGGGCAACCTTCCCAAGGGCTCTAGCTGCCTACACAGCTTAGCCCAGAACCCTGAACCCTTTTCCTGTACTGCTGTTTTGGTACAGGAAAAGGGGGCCTGTCGGCTCCCTTCCAGGAGCATGTGCGCTGGGTACTGAAAAGGATCCTGCCACCTCTCTCGTCCAGATTCGCGTCACCCCTGTTGATGTCTCAGGGGCCTCGGAGACCCGGGCGCCCATCCACATGTGGTAAGCGGAGCGACGGCAACGACAGCGGTCAGGACAGCATGCACAGGTGGTGGGAGATCGTAGATGACGACGAACAGGGCGAGAGCAGCAGGATCCAGAACAGTACGCAGCAGAGCAGCTCGTGGGACACGTGGAAGCAGTGGAGGACGACCCGCAACCATCAGGAAGTCGATTGGGGTGCTTGGCAGTGGGCAAGCGACGACTACAACGATGATTGGGTCTCGGACGACAAGCATGAGGATACGCAGTCAAATAGATCGTCACGTTCGAAAGGTTTCGGCACGCCAGACCAGGTCAAGAAGGCGGTCGGCATCTCTCGAAGACGACTCGAGCTGGATGATGAACACAAAGGAGGACGACGGCAAGAATGAGGACGTAGAGGAAAGGATCCGCCATGACCAGCCTGGGACGGGGAGGATCTCAGCGAGTGGCCCGAGAGGAGGCTGGCATAGACAGATGGACCCGACTGACCGCGGTTCCACCTGAAGAGCAGGGCGAGACGCTGTTGCTGCACCTGGCCAGGGAGGCGGCGACGGCGACCAGGCACCTACGACCAGGGAGCGTGCAGTTCGCAGGCGGGCTGCAGGTAGTGATCATGGCCCTGGACACGCTGGCCTTCCCAGAGGCGGACGCCGAGACGTTCCAGCTCGAGAAGACGCTGCTCGCGGCGCGGAGGGCGCGGGACGACACGCTCATGAAGCTCACGAACAGGATCCGCTCAGAGCAGAAGGAGTTGGTCAGACTGCTGCCGAACGCGCTCAACGAGACGGTCATGGGCTTCTTACTGCTCCGAGGAGCAGGCCTGGCCAAGGCAGAACGCAACCAGGTGCCCATACAGACGGGCTACGACTACGACAAGAACAAGCTGGTCGCGATCCTGAAGCGCATGACCGATGACAACACGGCCACCGAGAAGACTACCTCGACCAGGACGGCTTCCTACTTGGCAGGAGTGCAAGAGGAGGAGCCGCAGGAGGGCACCGAGGACGAGGACGAGGACAACCCCATCTACGACGCGATGGCCAATTTGCTGGGCATAGACAATGACAACCAGGAGTCAGACGACAAGCTCGAGAACGGAGAGACCTTGACGGAGACGGAGGCGCTGGACTGCTTGGCGGCGCTAGTTGGGCCGCCACCGAAGCCCAGAACGTGGGGTGAAGCGCGGAAAGCCGTGGCCGACAACAAGACGAACCGAGGGTTTCGCAACATCAAGGACCGCAAGAGGACCGAGGAGAAAATCGAGGACATCAAGAAGAGGACGAAGTGCGGCATCTGTACGAAGCTGGGGCACTGGCACAAGGAGTGCCCTGACAACCCGAAGAACATGAACAAACCGACAGGAGGCTTCTACGCGATGGCCGTACTCCACGACGAAGTGTGCCGCTACGCAGCGATGGAGGCGAAGATGGAAACGATATCCAACATGGTGGAGCACACATCACGACGCGACCATGACCGGGTTTCTCGCTCGCCACCATGGCGCGACGCCCAAAACGCGCCGCCGACAAGCAGCCCTTAGCCCTGCGCCGACCGCGGAGCCCTCGCGCGCGGGGGGCGGCCTCCGCGGCCGAGGGCCCTGTGGCCTGCGCGGGGCCCCCTCGTGGCCCGGATGCATGTGGGGAGGGCGTCTCTCTCTCTCTCTCTCTGTTTCTCTCTCTCTCTCTCTCTTCCTCTCCCTCGTAAAGGGCGGACTCAGCGGCGCGCGCTGCCCGCGGCCCCTCGCGGGGCCCCTCTCGGCCACCGTAGAAGCTCGACCACAAGAAACCGGCCACAAGAAACCCCAACCTAAGACTCGAGGACGTCCACTGATTCCTGGCGTGGATGCATTCCCAAGTGCTACCATGCTTCGCCGAGACATCAGAACAAAAGAGACGTCGAAGGATGAGGTGGCGAGCCCTTGTCAATGCCGAGCGCCCATGCTCCTGACCGGGGGCCGACAGGCCCCCTCTCCCTAAACCGAAACGGCGATAAAGGAAAAGGGGTCCAGGTTCTGGGCTAAGCACAGGTAGCTCCTAAGGGCCTCGGGATGCTTCTAGAGGTCCTCAAAAGACTCCGAGGTCCTTCCAGAATCACACTGGCCGTACTCTACTGCTCAGGGCCTGTTGAACTCCTCGAGTCCTCCTCCGACGAAGCTGCCCCCTGCTGCTCGTAGGCCAGCTGGGCCCCCCTGGGCCTCCTGTTGGCCTCGGGCTCGAAGTTTTGATCATATTTCTCGCTGATCTGGCGCTGCTCGCCCGCGGTGTCCATCTCGTAAAGGTCCAGGCCCGTGAAGCAACAATCTGTGATGCACGCAAAATCGGCTGGCTCCTTCTGCTTGCGGCTGGCCCTCTCCTGGCATCGGCGCTGCAACACGAAGCCGTCGGCGGCAATGCCGCACCCGCCCTGCTCGAGGGCGTTGCGTAACAGCGAACTCTCGCCCTTACGCTTGGCGAGTGGATCCGTGTGCTGGCTGGTTCCCTCGATCCACCGTAGATGTACTTCAGGTCGTTGCATGGCTGCCCGCGCGATTGCCACGTCGATAGCTGCCCTCCTGTCATTCGCGAGGCCTGCCTTGGGGTTGGTCACGTGGTCGTAGCCGCCCCTGGAGTCGGTAACGCTGACCACGGGCAATCGCAATCGCCCTGCTAGCAAGTAGGGCCTCATGAGGTCGAACCCTTTTGTCCACGATCTCGAGCAACATGGTACGCGTGAGCTCCGCCCTGGCCATTCCCCCCGATGTAGCCAACGCCTCCGCTCCAAACTGATGAGCGCACTTCCTCTTCAACTTGTGACTCTTCCAGGGCTGGATGGAGATGGTGGCTGGCTCCCCCATGAGTATCTCCCGTTGCGTCGCGAACGCGATGTAACCCGCCTGCGAAGCACCGTCTCTGGCATTGGCCCAGGCTGCGTCGTTGAAGGCCACGAAGGCGAGCTCGTGAAACGCGATGCGCTTGATCTTCAACTCCACGTTGCCGGACTCCTTCGTCATCCTGCCGATGCGATTCGCCTCCAGTAGATCGTCCACCACCAACTTGGGCATCTTCCCTTGAAGTAGTGACACTGGCCCTGATAAGTCTGGTCTGCCCTCGCGTGCCAAGAAGCGAATTGAACCGCGCGGGCGTCTGGCTTGATGAAGTTCTTCAGGAGTTACTTCAGCTTGTGGGTCCTTACGCCTTTCCGTGGCTATGCTGAAGAGCTGGATGCTGTCTGAGTTGTGGCTCTGGGAGACGATGATCTCGGTGCTGCCGTCATTTTGCATGAGCTCCTTGCCTGCGTACTTGCCCTTCTTATGCCTCCAAGCTCCGAAAGGGAACCTTTCCCGCGGCTTCTCACACGCCTCGTCGAACATGTGGTCGCCGCCGCCCACTACGTCGTCCACCGTCCAGCCCATGGCGCCATGGGGCCCATTATCGCCTCGTAGATAGAGGACGCAGCTGTCGAAGATGGAGCTTTCGAAACCGATCTCCTTGGCGTGCTTTGTGAAAGCTGAAAGCCACTGCATCGGTGCGTCTCCAAGTCCATATACTACCTTGAGTAACTCCACCAGTGAACCCTCTTCCGCGACAGGAATGCCTGTCCGAAGTACTTCCAAGTAGAGACTTCCCTGTGATCGAGCGAGAGGGACGCCCGCGGTGAAAGCCGAGGTGATGTCGGCTAGCTGCAGCGTCCACTTGTTGGCGCACAAGATCTGGAGTATCAGGAACACGGAGTCAATCCCGACCACCGGGCTGTACGTCTCGAGGTCTAGCAGTTCAGGGTCCGCGTGCCCTTGTACTGCCCATCTTGTTTTCGCCATCCTCCACGTGCCGTCGACCATGTACATCAGCTGTCTCTTGCCTGCGTCCGCTTCCTCTGGGTCGCCGTCCTTGTCCGCCAGCACCCATCGAGAGCCCATGATACGTGAAGCCAGCGCAGGGTCACGTCGTACTTGTCCAGCTTCAGTCGGTGGAAGTACTCGTACTGCTTGCGCGTGCTTGATGTTGCCCCATGCCCGACGCTTGGCCGCGATGTAGGGCTGGTACTTGTAGGTGTTCATCAGGGACTTCTCGGTGATCTCCTTTCTCAGCTTCTAGCTGGTGCTGGTGACTCGTGCCGTGACTATTGGCTGCCCTTTGACCTTCCTGCTCTTCTTCTTGGGTGGACCCTCTGCGTCCTTGGCGATCTTCTCCTCGATGGTCGCGATGCGTTCCGTCACCGGTATAGCTGAGCTCGGGGAATCGGACTTCTGCCGGATGGTGAAAGGAACGTCGTCCAGGCGATCTGAGCGTTTGGTCGCCATGGGAATGGGGTCAGGGTTGACGTCTCCCGCCGTCTCGATATCCTTCATTGGTGGCTGCCACGACGAAGGTGTCGGATCATATTCAGCAGGCTCTGGTGGTGCGGCTCGAGATACTTTGTCTTCCTGATCGCCAGGTGGTCCCGCTTGTTGCGAGAGGTCTTCATACTTCCGACGCCCGCGGTGCTCAGCGCTAATCTCCCCCTTCATCGAGCGGTCTACCTGCTCCCAAGCCGTCGCTTCACCCTCGCTGGCATGTCGAAGTTGTTCAGGCGAGCACTTCAGCAACCCCCCTTAATAAGATCACCAAACTGTACTTGTCAACTCTGTCTGAAAACTCGGGCTGGGCCGTGCCATGAACTGATAGGTAACTTGCCCGTGCTGCTCCTGAGGAAGTCGCATCTAACGCCTGGTTGGAAAATCGCCCCCCTCGTAGGTCTCGTCCTCCTGTTGAGAGCACGCCTCCATTTCTCAGAACACTCGGCCTCGACGTACGCTGCCATGGCCGCCCTGCGCATGTCGATGCTCCTGGATAGCTCGGCATCTCCATTCATCGCCCTTGAAACTGTCGACAGACTTGGCGAGCCCTCCTCCAAAAACCTTTCGGGTAGTCTGAAAGGTCGTCCAAAGACTCGCTGATATTGAATAAAACCTCCCCTGCGGACGCTCGCACCTATGGCCGCGTTGACGGAGTCCACCAGCTCGTAGAAGTCGCCCCAATTGGCGGTGTTGAACTTCTGCCTAGTCCTGTAGAATGTCTCCTTCCAAATACCTCCGGCTCGTTCTGTCTTGCCCGCCTGCCATGGTGAAGTCGCGCTCGGGACCTTGACCTCGGCGCCGTCTCCTTCTGCTGCCTCGGGAAACTCGCCAGCTGAGAAGCCCTTCTCCCCGTCGATGACCATCATGCGTGGCGTGCCGTAGGCTCCCTTCCAGAAGGCTCGATAATGGCGCCGTATCTGGTGTCCATGCCGACTTGGAAGTGGAACCGCGATATGGTGGCCCGCGCCGTGGCACACAATGTTCAGCATTGGAACCTCGGTGGCGTTCTCAGGACCCAGAACGACAAAGATGTCCACGCCGATCACGTCGTTGAGCTGGCACGTAGCAGGTGCCCTCGAAGGTTTGGCCAACCTAGGTCGCTTGTTCGCTGCGCAACTTGGACACTCCAGCTGCTGAGCTGCCTCGATATACGCCTGCCTTGCCTTGCCGCACCTCAGGATCATGACCATTTTTATCGTTGCTGCAATGACTCATGTTCTCGTGGGTCTGCTGGACCTGCTGCTTCACTTTTGGGTCCGTGCTCCTCTCGCCCTTCGAAGGTGTCGTTGGGGCAGCGCGGCATGATGTGCACTTCTCCAGCTCCTTCTTCTTGTCGTCCTGGTCGTCCTCTTGCATCTCTACCGTCGCCTTCTCCTTCACTATAGACCTTACCAATGCGCCAGTCAGATCCTTCAGCAACTCGTGGACGTCTCCTAGCTTCATCTGCGGGGCCCCGTTCACGAGCTCCTGACTCAGCATCTTCCCGAACCCGAGTGCCTTCCCAAGTAGATTCGACAGGTAGCCCCTCCCTTTGACCCACGCTTCTCCTTGATCGACTTCGGGCAGGCGCCTCAGCTCCCTGATCAGCGGCGCCTCGCAATCTCTAGACTGCTCATGATGTTCGTAGTAGAAGTACCTGCCCTCGACGGCCTGCTGAATAGCCACGTCTAGGATGAACGTGAGCATCGCCCGGCCCATCCGCTCCTTCAGCTTGGCGTTGTCGATGTCCCTGAGAGGCTTGGTGATGATGATGGGGGGTTTGGTGTGCTGCATCTGGCTCAAGACCTCCGTCTGCCTTTCTCTAGTCATCAGGTAGTAGCCCGTCAGCGTCAAGACCTCCCTGTTCTCGATGCTCTTGACCGCTCCTGTGTCCTCGTCAAGGTTCTCGATCTGCGGCTCGCACTCCTCCTGGGCCTGGCTCATGAAGACCTGACTCTCCGGGGTCGCTGCGTCCATCGCCTTCCTGAGGTCGCTCGGCTCGCTGAGCTGCTTAATGGCCTTGTCGATGCTGCTGTTCTGTTTCTGGCTGAGATAATTCACATCTTAGCTGGTCGACAAGTTAGCTGGTCGTCTCGTTCGCGCTCTCGTCCTTCATCAGCCCCCGCAGTGCGCGCAGTGCCTTGCTCCGAGGTGACTCGTCCAGCTCCTCCCAGTCCTCCTGCGACTCTGGATCGTCCTGCTCGCTCTCCTGGTGCCGGGTGGTAGGCTTCCTGTTTGCCGCCCTGGTTGTCGGCTCGGGTCTCGGTGGTGTTGCTGTCTCCTCGGTATCCTTCTTCTTGCTGGTCCTGGTCTTGCTGTTCCTGGGCTGCCATCCCTTGATCCGAGCCTCCTCGTCCTTGAACTCCTCCAGCTTCGTGGTCACCTCCTGCGTCCCCTCCGCTGTCTTCGGGTAGTACTCCAAGTGAAGTTCGCACCCGCTGCGCTGAACGTAGAAGGCCTTCGCGTTCCCGCCGTGGTTGGTGAACACATGGGCGCAGTCTTTCTCCCGCGCTGGATCGCGGCCCCTGGCCCTCGCCACGACTGTAGGAACCCGCGGCCCCTGGTCGATGATACCGTAGCACCTTCGCATCATAGCTCCAATCGGAGGAATTGGCATGTTGCAGATCTTGTGCCAGGGCCACCTGTAGGTCGCGTCGCGCTGCTTGTTGGGCTGGTCCTTCTGATCCTTCGCCTCGTGCGACACTGGCTTCGCCTGGGCAGCGGTTGCCTTCGCCCGCCCCTGGGGCGCCGCGGGCCCTCGCAGCGATAAACGCGGCGGGCGCCGAGCACAGGAACTCGGGGGCTCGTCGCGCGACATGGGAATATGGGCAAATCCTGGCTGAGGTGCTTCGCAGGAAAACTGATCTCGAAACCTGGCTCGAGCCGAACGAGCTTTCCGAAATATGTATGTTCTCGTCGCTTCGATTCTCTAGGATCATGTCGATGCCCCTGTCGTCGTGCTGGCTGCTGCTCTTGCTGGCTCTGCCGTTGCGCCCTCTCTGCCTGCTCCTTATGTTCCTTATCTCTTCAGCAGCCCGTAGTGCGCGCGCTATTTCTGCTGCCCTTTGCCTGCTCGCTGCTCGCCCAGGCGCCCCTCGCCCCCCAGCGCGGCCCAATGCGCCCGAGAAGACGCGCGTTTCAACTCGCTGGGCGCTCGTGGGATCTCCTGAAGCCGACGTAGATGGATATATATACTTGGCGCCCGTCCCGGAGATCATCGAAACCTCCTTCGTGCACGACGTCGAGCTTTCAGGCTTGCCCCACGGCTCCGCGAAGTTGCCCAGTTGTAGCAGGGAATGCCCGCCGCCAGCGCGAGCGGGGGAAGTCTGACATCCAAATTGGAAGATCAAGCTCTGACTGGAACGCGCGCAAGGAAGCCTTCAGTTCAACGACGAAAGTCTTGGATAGAAGTAGCGGCGCAACTCCCTTCGCCGGGCGCGCGAAGATCACCCCGCTGAACTCGCCCAGCGCGATCGGGATGATGACCCCGTCCGTCGCTGTGCAGACCTGGTCGTTGCCGAAGCGATACTTCTTGCGGTGAGGAATCGCCTCCATCATTATGTTGCGCCGCTGCTTGTAGTGCTCGACCCACTTCTCGTAAGTCGCCATGCCCATCATGTTGAAGCCGCAAGCCGTGTCCACTGCTCCCCATCCTGGTCTGCCCGACTTCTCGGCGCCCACCGCCAGGTGGGCGTGCTCCGCGAATTCGGGCCTCGGCGCCATCTTCGCCCCTGAAGCGATGTAGCTGCGCACCTCGCTGTCCTGGGGAACCACCATCGCCAAGAAACCTCCAGTCGGCTTGACCTTGTTCTTCGGGTTCTCTTGGCATGCCTTGTGCCAGTGGCCCGGCAGCTTGCAGTTCCCGCGCGCGGTCCTCCCCTTGATGTCCTCTATCTTGTCCTCGGTCTTCCTGCGATCCATCATGTTGTGGAACCCCCTGTTGGTCTTCCTGTCGGCGACTATCTTCCTGGCCTCGCCCCGCGCCCCGGGCTTCGACGGCGGTGCAGCGCGCGCCGCCGGGCAGTCCAGCGCCTCCTTCTCCGTCAGCTCCCCGTGGCCCAGCTTGTCGCCCGTGCCGCCGGCGTCGTCACCTTCGATGCCCAGCAGGTTCGGCATCGCGTCGTAGATGCTGTTGTCCTCCTCACCGACGTCGGACGGCCCTAGCTCATCTTCTTCGCGTGCTCCTGCCAGGTGGGCCGTCTTCGCGTGCGTCATCTTATCGATCACCGTGTCGTGGTCGGTCATGCGCTTGAGGATCACCACCAGCTTGTTCGCGTCGTAGTCGTAGTCCGTCTGGATGAGCACTTGATTTCTCCCCGTCTTGGCCAGTCCTGATCCTCGTAGTAGTAGGAATCCCATGACCGCGTTCAGCGCGTTCGGCAGTAGTAGGACCAGCTCCTTCTGCTCTGCTTTGATCCTGTTGGTGAACTTCAGCAGCGTCTCCTCGCGAGCTCGCGGCGCCGCGACTAGCGTCTCCTCCAACTGCTGAAAGGTCTCGGCGTCCGCCTCTGGGAACGCGAGCGTGTCCAGCGCCATGATGACGGCTTGAAGTCCTCCTGGGTTCTGCGCGCTCCCTGGTCGCAGATGCCGCGTCGCCGTCGCCGCCTGCTTCGTCAGATGTAGCAACAGCGTCTTCCCCTGCTATTCTAGTGGTACTGCCGTGCGACGACTCCACCAGTCGATCGCCAGTCTCTTCTCGGGCCACTCGCTAAGATCCTTGCCATCCCACGACGGACAGGGTGGATCCATCCCTCGGCGCGCTCCTCGTCGGTGGTCTCTTTCGTGCTCGTCATCTCGCTGTGGCCTCCATGTCACCACCGCCTTCTTGATCTGTTCTGGCGTGCCGAATCCCCTCGAGCTGTCTGAGCGAGTGTCCGATCCGAGCCTCTCGAACGTCTTGCCATACCTCTCCTCAGAGAACCAATCATCACAGTCGTCGCTTGCCCACCAAACTCCCCAGTCGACCTGATGCCCGTTGCCCGTTCTCGAATCCAGATATCGTGCTGCTCTGCCCTGCCGCTTCCACCTTCTCCAGGGGTCCCAGGTGCCGTCGTCGATACTGTCGCCATGCTCGCCCCAACTGTCCTTCGGCTCGTCCTCTACGATTTCCCAATTGTGTTTGTCGTCTGCGTGGTGACTGCTGTCGTTGCCGTCGCTCCGCTTACCACATGCGGATACACCCCCAACTGCTACCATGCTTCGCCGAAACATCGGAACAAAAGAGAGATGTCGAAGGATGAGGTGGCGAGCTCTTTTCAGTACCGAGCGCTCATGCTCCTGAAAAGGGGCCCACAGGCCCCCTCACCCTAAACCGACACGGCGGTAAAGGAAAAGGGACTCAGCTTTCTGGGCTAAGCACAGGTAGCTCCTAAGGGCCCCGGGATGCTTCTTAAGGTCAACAAAAGACTCCGAGGTCCTTCCGGAATCACACCTGGTGTGGGGACGCTACGCATTCCGTCGGAAAACCATCGGAACCCGAGAAGCCCAGGGCACCCGGGCGGCAAGCAGGGTGTTTCTTAGCATGGGTCTCCACTGTACACGCAAAGGGGTGACCCCTGGGCAAGCGTGACCTGTGGCGCGCGACTTTCGGGAGGCCGCGAAGGGAACAAATTCCAAGCGCAAACGCTGGTGTTGTCGCGTCGGGTTCGGCGATCGGGGGACCCCGAGGAGCCCGCACTACAGGTCACTCTGACTCTGGCGAAAGGTCACTCCTACGCGTAGCCAACCCTCGTGGGCAGGGCCTCCTTTGCCCGTGGGCTAGCGCTCAAGGGGACCGATTTACGGCAGGTCCGTATTTTGGCGCCGCGCCGACGGGGCAAACCTTCTCAGAAAGCGGCGGGGATTCTCAGAAGCTCTTCGGCCCTTTGAGAAACCCTCTGCTGATCAGCAACCAAATTGCCCCTAACACTTTGGGAGGGGACCTAAGTTAGGAGGGCCAAAACATAGAGTGATGGGGGGTCTTTCCTACAGGTGCATCGAGGGAACCGCCCAACATCATCATCCCTGATGCGAGGACGGGGAGCTGGTAAGTGAGGCCACATCTCCATCGCGCCATTCGGGTGAGGGGTTCTTCTGTTGTCTCGACGACCCGTCCCTGCGGAGAAGAGGGCTCGGAACGCTCCCCAGCAGGCCGGAGAGGCCTTCCGAACCCTCTGAGAGAAGGCCCCGCGCCCGTCTGCCTTCCCCCCCTCCCTGGGCGTGCCGCCGAGCTCTGGGGTTAGGTCGGGCATGTCCTCGTACAGGCGGATTTCGGGCGAACCCCAAAAAATCAGGCAAAACCCAACATGACCAAGAATGATCGAACATTCGTCACTTGACTATTGGTTTACTGTTCTTGAAGATTCCCCCTGTCGAGGGACAGGCCCGACTTCATTTTGGGGGCGCACGTGGGTGGGGGGGGGACAGGTCGCGCTGGCGGGCGTGCCGAGAGCACGCCGGAGCGGCCAAGGCCGCCGCCGCAGTCTGCACCTTGGGGAGGGCGGCAGGGAGCCTAGCGTGCGCTCGCACTCGCACCGCGCTGCTTTCACACCCGCCTCGGGGCCATGGAAGCGAGAGGCGAGCGAACGCAGGGGGCGAGCGAGAGCGGGAGGCGAGCGAAAGCGGGAGGCGAGCGAAGGCAGGCGGCCAGCGAAGACGGGAGGCGCCACCCACTGTCGCCTCCCACTGTGTTATCCCTTCCCGTGTCGTGAATTAGTCTTCTCCTGTCATGAATGTTAGTCTCCGTTGTCGTGGAGAAGTCCTGGCTTTCTCCAGCCCGCTCGCCTTTGGACTGAAGAGAGGAGGGGGCGCGAAAGATAATATTGTGGATGCCAGGGCAATGGACACCCTAACAATCCGATAATTGAATGAAACATGTGTTTAACATGTCGGAACATGTTCTAGAAATGTTCTAACATCATGTATTTTACATGGCTAATACATGTTTAAAACATGGTTTAGACATCTGGAAATCATGTGGCAACGTGCTTCCTCTCCATTGCTCGTCCTCCAAATGATACAAAGGGGGCCCTGGAGCGCCTCGGAGATCTCGGCCCCGCCCCCCCCCGGACACCCATGGATGGCGACCCATTGCGTGCGATGGTCCTGCCCAGGCAGCCCACCCGAGGGCCACCAGAGGCTGCCCCAAGCCGAGCCTCGCGAGGGGACCCAGGGAGTGCACGCGACTTCCAGGGTCAGGTCGAGCATGTCCCCCTGCAGGCGATTGTGGTAGAAAAATCAGAAATACTCAACACATTCCAGACTAATCAGAAGATGCTCCAAACATCGTCCCCAGACTATTGTTAAACTATTCTTGAAAATGCCCCCTGTAGGGGGACAGGCCCAACCTCATTCCAGGGGGGAGCCGCGACCCGGACAAGGAGCATAGGGTCATGGCATGCAGCGTGGGAAGGGGTCCAGAGCCCCCGGGCTCTCCCCAGAACGAACCGTTCTGGGCGTCGCTTCTCGGTCTGAAGGTCGGGAAGGGGTGTGGCATAAAGGGGTGCAGGTGGCAATGAGGAGTCTGACGGTGCTACCTATCGTAGATCACATCTCCATTTCCACGATTGGCACCACACCCCTTTCCTACCTCCAGACTCCGGGGGAGGGGGGGGCCGGTAGTAGTGTAATGGGGTGGGAAGAGAGGCGCACTGCTTTGGCCCCGGAGGCCCCCTGCTGGGGCCCCAGAGGGCCCCTTTAGGGACCCCCGAGGGCCTTTTTTCTGCAGCCCTCGCTGCGTCCCCCCTTCGTCGCTCCCGCGCGACGCCTAAGGGTTCGTCCTGAGTCGGGCCCCGGGGGGACCGAAGGAGGAGGATGAGTGCACCGCAGAACCCCTTTCCCTCGGGGCCTCTTCCCGCCATGCATGGCGATGCTGGACCTCTTGTGCTGGGGTGCCTTTTGGGGGAATCCAGCCGTGGCGACGCCTCCACGAGGCCCAACAAGAGGAAGACCACCGCGCCCAAAACGTCCGAGGAGGGGAACGATGAGGGAGGACTGACTGGGACCAAGGGACACACAAATAAATTGACACATATCCCTGGATTCTCAGTCTTTGCCACAGTCTGGATGTTCGTTTCCCCCTCCACTTCCCATAGTTTCGAATCTTTTCCTGGTACTCGACGTTTACTTGTGTCTGTGTGCGTGTGTGTGTGTGTGTTCCCCCCTCCTGAGATAAGGGGGGGCCAGCTCAGAGGGGAAAGCATCGAGCTTGAATTGGCGACACATCGCTGATAGATCGGCGATTGGCCTCTGATAGCGAATCCGCGCGGTCCTGGGTGAGGCGGGCTATCAGGCCACCCTGGGCGATGAACGGGCGGTTGGGGGTCGATGCGTGCCCCTCTGAGCCTATATTCCCCCCAGTGATGATCGTCGTCTGGTCTTCAAATCATAACTCGGGCCTCCGGCGGCCGTTCGGGACGATCCGGGCATCCCGGAACGCTCTGTCGGCGAGGCGCAGCTGCTGGAGAACACCCCGAGGCTGGGAGACCGCCAGAGCACTGACGAACACGCCCCACCCTCACATCCGACGTTGCGCCAAAAAACATGCAACATCGTGAACAACCACGACCCCGGCCCTGGACCCCATATTTCTGCGTCATGATTGGAGCCGGATCGATCGGTGAGGGTCCCAGGGCCCGAAACCAGGCGAAGACGCCCAGTGTGAAAAATTGCAGCACCAGGATCTCTGGGCACAGCCCCAGACATGCGACGTCCTGAATTTTTCAAGACGGGGGCCCCCCGAGGCCGCAAATGGCCAAAAACCTCCCGCGTGAGTTTTTCACGACGCGATCATGCCTGGGACCTCGAATCTGGAAGCCCTCGTCATCCTGGCGTTGCCCCCGAATCCAGCCTCGGGCCTCGACTCCTCCCTTGAGCAGGGACCGACCGTCCCGGCATTCCTGCAGCCCTACTACGACATTTTCTTAGAACCAACAAATGTTCGAAACACAAAAATCTTAGACCACAAACCCGACGCGTTAAAACAATACAGACTCGGCCAACAATGTTCTGAGAACATGTCGTGCAAGCCACAGGAGGTTCTTATAATGAACATTCCTTGGTGGGCCTATAGGCGCGCCAGGACGCTTAGCCACTGCTTGAGGGTCCAGCCTCGAGCCTCGACGCCTCCCTGGCCAGGAACTTACTTGCCGGAAAGGCCGGGCCCCCGCCAGCGGCTGGCGCCGAGGCCTGCCCGAGCCGTCGGCGAACTCGATGGTGATGCACTGGCCGTCGCGGCAGGCCTGCGGCCGCGGTGCTGCTCCGAGAAGGAGGAAGAGGAGGAGGAGGAGGAGGAGGAGGAGGAGGAGGAGGAGAAGGAGGAGGAGGAGGAGGAGGAGGAGGAGGAAGAGGAGGAGGAGGAGGAGGAGGACGCGCACGGCCTGAAGGCGAACGGTCACGCCGTCTCGCCTCGATGCCGTGCACAGGCACGGCCCCTGGCGACGAGGAAACCCGACGCCGAGTGAGCGCTAGCACCCAGCACCCCACAACGCGGGGTGCTGGACACCCCCACTCACCCCCAAGCCCTCGGGCCAGGCGGCACCCCAGGAGCGGGCCCCACGGAGACCACCAGGGGCCCCCCGCCGCCAGCACCCGAGGCGAATCCACCAGCCCGACCAGGCTCGGCCCCGCAGGGGCCCCCTGTGTCGGACGTACGCAGGCCAGCGGCGCCGCTCAGCCCCGCGACAGCGCGTCCCACCGCCGCGGCGCCGCCTGCGTCCTCCTCACCCCCGCCTGCAGGTCGGTGAGACCGCGGCAGGGGCCCCTGGTGGCGCCGCACTGACGGCACTTCCACCGCACTGGGAGCCGCCGCATCCCGCCTGCTAGCCTCCGCGGCCAGTCCAGGGGGAAGGCGAAGTCGGGCCGACCTCGCCGACGAGCTCCTCGGCGCCCCCGAAGTCGACCCACTCGGGCCATGCCCGTCGCGGCCGCCCAGCATGTCGAAGCAAGAGGCCTTCGCACTGCCGAGCCGCTCTCCTGCCGCACCTCGGGCTCCGCCCCAGCATGCAGCGCCGCGTGCACCGCGAGCGTCTGCGGCGCCGCTCAGCCCCGCGGCGGCGCCTCCCGCCGTTGCGGCGACGCCTGCATCCTCCTCGCCCCCGCCTGCAGGTCGGTGAGACCGCGGCAGGGGCCCCTGGTGGCGCCGCTCTGGCGGCACTTCCAACCCTCTGGGAGCCGCCGACTCCTGCCTGCTGGCCTCCGCGGCCAGGCCAAGGGGAGGGCGACGCCGGGCCGACCTCGCCGACGAGCTCCTCGGCGCCCCCGAAGTCGACCCCCCCGAAGTCGAAGCAGGAGGCCTGCGCACCGCGCAGCCGCTCTCCTGCCGCGCCTCCAGCGCCGCCCCAGCATGCAGCGCCACGTGCACTGCGACGGCGGTCGCGGGGTGCGAGGGTAGGCACATCGCGCGGCTCCGACGACGCCGCCCTGGCGAGAGCCGCTTAAGGGCGGGGGCTTCGCGAGTTCCTTTTTCGGAGCGCCCGCTATGGCCCCCGCCCCGCACAGGTCGACCCTCGGCCCGGCCATCACCCGTGCCATGCGCTCCCCGAACCTGTGGTCGAGTGACCAGTCCTGGGCAGGTCCAGCTGCAGCCCGTTCGCGTCGAGGGACTTCGAGCCTCCCCGCTCGACTGCGCGGCCTCGCAGCCGCGGCGGTAGGCCGCGAGGAGCGACTCGACCTTGCCCCCCACCGCATCGTCGGCCGCTGCTGCGTCAATCGCATCGTCATTGCCCCCGCCTGCTGGTCGGTGAGACCGTGGCGAGGGCCCCTGGTGGCGCCGCACTGGCGGCACTTCCACCCCTCTGAAAGCGCCGGCGCCGCCCAGCCCGCTTCCCACAGAAGCCTGACCAACGGGCGGCTGACATCGCGCAGAACTCGAAAACTGGCTCCCCGGCGCCCCTGACACCACACCACGAGCAGCAGTGGCACCGTCTCGAGGCCAACTCATCGAGGCGGGCCTGCCCTATGCGCTGTTTACCCCGTGGGTGCACCAGGGGCAGGCTCCAGCAACGCACTTGGCGTCTGAGCCCAGCCCCACGCGCTGTTTACCTCGCGGGTGCCCCTGGGACTTGCGTTCTAGCAACCGACGGGCTCTGCAGCTCATGCTCAACTGCGTGCTCCTGCTGGCGATACTCGATACCCAGCTCGTCGTCCTCGCCCCTGCCTGCAGGCCGATGAGACCGCAGCAGGGGCCCCTGGTGGCGCCGCACTGGCGGCTCTTCCACACCTCCTGGAGCCGCCGCGTCCATCCCACTCGTCGCCGAAGCCAGGCCTGGGGACGTAGGGCGCCTGGCCGACCCCACTGAGATGCCCCTCGTCGCCACAGATGCCGATCGACTCGATTCCTGCCCGCCAGTTCCCACGCACATGTCGATGTGGGAGGCCCGCGTGCCGCTGAGCCGCTCCTCTGCAGCGCCGCCAGCACCGCCCCAGCATGCAGCGCCACGTGCGCCGCGAACCTCTGGCCGACGACGCCCGCGAGGTGAAAGGGCAAGCACATCGCGCGGCTCCGACGACTTCGCCTCGGCGAGAGCCGCTTCGGGGCGGGGGCTTCGCGAGTTCCTTTCGGAACGCCCGCTATGGCCCCCGCCCCTCGCGGGTCGACCCTCGGCCCGGCCACCGCCGTCGCCATGTGCTCCCCGTGCCTCTGGCTGACCGAGCACAGGTCGAGGCGCCAGTCCTGGGCAGGGCTGCCAGCACGCCGCTTGCGCCGAGGGGCTCTTCGCCGCGCCGCGCGGCTCAGCAGCTTCGCAGCCGCGGCGGTAGGCCGCGAGGAGCGATGCGACCTCGCCTCGCACTGCCTCCTCGTCGGCCGCTGCGGCTCCCGCTTCATCCTCACCCCCGCCAGCAGGTCGGTGAGACCGCGGCGGGGGCCGCTGGTGGCGCCTCACTGGCGGCTCTTCCACCCCTCTGGGGGCCGCCGCGTCGGGCCCGCTCGTCGTCGAGGCAGGACCAGCCGCCCCCGCCACATCCGTGTCCATTGCCTCCTCAACTTGAACTGGCACCCCTCCGCGATTCCATACGGCAGCCTGGCTGGACATCAGCATGGTGGCATCGCTGCTGCCCTCGACGACGTCGTGCATCTCGACTGCCACTCTGCTGGGCACATTGGGCGCCATCCTGCTATCCAGCCTTGCCAGCACCGCCTTACCCGAAGGAGTCGGCGGCTCACAACGCCTGGTGAAGCTGCTGGCCCGCGCCGCTCCTGTGGCCCGCAGCAGAGGCACGCCACCAGCGGCATCTTCCTCTCCAGCTGCGCGTCCACCTGCGGCTCGATCCTCGCGAACCGATGGCATGGCAAGCCGCGAACCCTCAGGACCCTGTTCGCCTTCATCGCCTCCTCCAGTATGGAGCCTGGGCGATCGCCCTGGCGACTCTGCCACCTCCAGTGCGTGCACCACTGCTTCCCTTGGGCACCGCGCAGGTCGCGCGTGTTGCAGGCGTCCTCCTTCCTCCCTGCACGGCCTTCCACTGCACCCTGTGGCTTCGCCTTCCAGTGACACGCGTCGCTGCCCCGGGCCCAACTGCCCACAGGGCTGCACCACATAGCAACCCCATCCACAAGGCTACGCTCAGCCTGCAGCTTGGCGCGATCCTCCTCTGCAATCCTGCCTGCCTGCGCTGCTGACCTGGCTGCCATGTCTGCGTACTTGCTGCCCAACCAGTCGCGGTGCGTAGCCGCACCCTGGCGCACCTGCTGCTGTGTCTGATGTGCTCTTATGCACCGCGCGCACACCATTTTCGCCCGCGCCTCCTAGGTCGTCGATGAGGTCCCAGGCCACGCGCCACAGGTGCACCCACGTATGACTATAGCACGTAGTGCCTGCACGCCAAGCCTTCATGACCCCGTTGCACACGCACTTGGAGCCCACGACCGCCACGATAGGAGCCATCCCCACCCGCATTGGCATGACCAGGGCCATGAGCTCCCCGCCGTTGATGTCCACGCACAGCTCGCACAACTGCCCCGCGACCGGCATGAGGTACTCATCGCCGTCGGGCTTCAACGCCACCAAGCTCCAACCCACGGACGCGTAGCCGTCGAGGTCCACGTCGAAGGCCGACCCGTCCAAGTAGACCTCCCCTGGCGGCACGACCCCATCATGCTGTCCTCGCCAGCATATGTTACTGGACGGTACAGGCCTGCGTAGTCCCGACTGGGCTGGCCACAGGCACCTCTCCAGCAGCAGCTCCACCTCCTTCATGTCCGATCTGGCTCTCAGGGAGGACACCGCGGCTGGCGTGGTCAACGCCGCTGCCAAGCGTTGCAGCCGCAATGCCCGTGCCTCTCGCCCCACATAGCAGACGCGCATCCGATGCCGCCATGCCTGCATCTGCCTTCCTCGCTTCCGCGCACTGCCCGTGAGTGACCAGCCACGCGACGTCGCCCTTCTCCTTCGCGGTGAGCCTGACCCTCTCGCTGGCACGCTGTCCTGGCACCCTTTTGTTCGATGCCGCTGGCCACGCCCGACGTCGTGAGCCGCGCGAGCGGCTCGAGGACTCCGCCGCTGGCGAGGTGCTCGCAGCCTGGCGATGCGGCCACGTGTTGCCGCTGCCATTGCTCGATGGCCCTTAGCAGCAGCTTCTTGACTACCCAGGGGGCGGTGTCGAACGGCCTCAGGATCGACCCGTCGTAGCACCTCCACCGCTCGCGGTCGATGACGCGCCGGCCCACGCGCCTCAAGGTCACCACCACCTCCGACATCGGGCCCTGGACCTGCACCCACTTCATGGCCCTGTCGTCGCACAGGCAGAAGTCCACAACGTGAGACGGGACCCAGCCTTTTCCAGCGCGCCCGAAGCAGCATCATCACGGGCGCCAGCGTCGCTTGGATGACAGGACCCAGGGCTGGCTGCAACGTCAAGGAGAGCGCGCGCGACCTGCCCGCCGTGCTGGGCGCCGCCCCTTGTCCAGCCCGCCCTTCGCCATGCCTGGCGCTGCCACCCCATGCGCAACACTGGGCTGCAGCACCGTATTAACGACCCTGCTGGCCGCCCTCCTCTTCACCTTGCCCTTCTTGAGCACCCCGAACCTCCTCAGCCTCTGCTGCGCAGCCTGCAGCCTCTGCCCTGTCACAGCTCTGCCCATCCTCTTCCCCCGCTGGTGTCGACGCCCAGGTTCCGCTCCTGCTCGGCGTCGATCACTCCAAGCGGCCTCCTCTGGTGCTGCGCAAATGCTGCGCGCGCCTTCGGCTGGTTTGCCAGGGCACGCGACTTCTTCGTCGCGACTAGCAAGTCGGCCTCGTCCAGCAGTGCCTTGAGCCTGAAGGCCGCGTCTCCAACCACCCGCACTGTCCTCGCCAAGCTGCCTGTCTTCCTGACAATGATGTCGCCGACCACGACCGTGAGCCTCACCGTCGGATGCGCCTCGCGTAGCCTACCCAACGGAGCCAGGAGCAACATCCTGAGCATGAGCGTGGCAAACCCATCCCCTGGCAATACCGCTTGGCCCACCTGGAGCTCATCTTCCACCCCCGCGCCGAGTGCCAGCCGTCGAGGCGAGCGGTACAGGTCGATATGCAGCTTCAACTGCCACAGCGGGAAGCCCGTCCTGACCGCTGCCTCGACAAGGTGGTGGTGACGTACTTGCTCGCACGCCTTCAGCAGGTCCAGCATCGCGAGCACCGAGACCCACGCTTCTGGATCTCGCTGTTGGCGTCCTTTGGCCGTCGCCCACTCGCACTCAGCCGCCTGCTGCTACGCTGCCCGTTCACATCCACGACCTCGGGCAGCCGAGAAGAAGGGCCTGTCGTCCCGCTTCTCCCACTCCAGCGCGATGGATCTCCAGAGTCGCGCCTGCGTTCTCGCCAGCACCACGATGATAGCGATCGGCCTCACCCCTCCCGCGCCACTTCGCGAGGAATCACACCTTGGTCGTGAGGCTGGGCCACCCCGCTGCTCCTCCCACCCCCATCAGGATGTCTGGCAGCGTCTCCAGCGCCCCATCACACAGCTCCAGCAGCTGCCTCGACCGAATGCCTTCGAAGGACGCTGCAGTGCCGCGCCGGCAGGACCTCCGGCGCTTCTTCATGTCTTCCAACGAGGGCCTGGGAGAGCGCTCGCCCAGGTCCTTGGGCCAGCGCGCGCTGACCTGCTCACGATCGACTTTCCAGGGCCTCCGCCACTCATCTTCCGGCTGGCGTACCTCAACCTCCTGTCTGGCAGGTGCGCCCCACGCCTGCCCCTGGTCAGCTGGACTGTCCTGCCAACCGATGGGCACCCGCGTGACGGATGTAGCCCTCCTGCTCCTCCTCGCAGCTGTAGCTGAACCCGCTCGTCGAACTGCCGCCCCCTGTCATCGGGGCCCCGCTGCGCCAATGCTTGAGCATCTTAACGTGTGCCTGCTCAGCTTCTCAGCGCAGCACCTCAGCGGGCGCCCGGCTGACCTCCTCGTCCTGCACTACCTTCCACCACCGCAGCGCGGCTCCTGTCTTGCCCGCGGCGTGGTCGGCGCTAGAAGCCTGCTCCTCAGCAGCCCTGGCCTGCAGCCGCTGGGGCGCACCCCTCGCCTGGCGGGGGGGGGGGCCCTCAGCGCCGCCGCCCTGAAACAGTTGGCCACCCTGGCCACCCAGACAGCCTCCGCCGTGATCCTTGGCGCGCTCATACCTTCGACTGCTGCCTGCCGCACCCACTTGGTGACAACGCGATCCGGACGCCCGACGCACTTCTGAACATTTTCATCGACTTGAAATATGCCCACCAGGTCTTGCTCCGCTGCCGTGAGGAAACTGCGCCAGGCCATCGCCAGCGCCGTGGGCTGACCAATAATGCCCTAGTCCCCTGCTGCTTCTCCTCGCGCTGCGCCAGGCACTCGTTGCGCAGACTGTCCAACTTCGACCCGCTTGGCATCCCGGTCCGACTTGCAGCAACCCGACGGCCTCACCGCGGGGATGACTTTGGGCGCCTGCGCGACCTGCAGCCACGGCCGTGCTCCAAACGCCATGACCTTCAGGACGACAGGCGAGCGGGGGGAACACGGGCGATCCTGGCACCACCTGCACACTGACAACCTGCATCCCGCGCGAGACCAGGAAGAAGTCAATGATCCCGCCCGAGGCGGCGCAGGCCGCCACCGTTGGCCTCGCAACCACTGCGTCGAAGCCCTTCAGGGAATCGCTCTGCACCAGCTCGTCGTACTCTACAACGAAGGCGCCACCAATGGTGTCCGACCTCCTGAACTGCTTGAGACATCGCGTCAGATCGAGCAGAGCCTTCCTGTTGGTCAGGTTCATCCCGACGCCTGCCTCCAGGTACACGTTTACGAGCAGGACGCCTCCTTTGCACACCTCCGAGTAGCATGCCACGTGTATCCTGCCTGGTACCACCACTGCTGGTTGTGCATCTCCTTAATCATCGTCAACAGCCCTCCTGTGCCGAGGCCCCCTGCCTCGGACGCGATTGCTGCCGTGCGCACGCCGTCGGCCTAGTTTCCTGGAGCAGGACCGCGTCGCAGCCCTGCATCTCCTCCACCTCCATGCACTTGTCAAAACTGCTGAAGGCGCTGGAGTTGAGGACTGCCACCTGCCACTCCTCGCCATGCCTGTCGCGCCCGCGACGCCGCGGCAGCTGCCCTGACCCTGCTGGTGCCAGCAGCGCAGCAAGCCCTCTCAATTGCGTGCTCGCCGCTGCTGGACCTCCGAAGGGGCGGCCAGGGCAGGCCCCTGGTGCTGCATCACCAAGATGGCGGACCCTCTCGCAATTACCTATGCCCTCCTGTGGTGCGGGGGGCCTCACGTCCGTGCCCGTAGCCCCATCAACTTGAACTGGTTCTTCTCCGCGATTCCGCACGGCCGCCTGGCTGGACATCGGACCGCCAGTCCCGCGCACGCAGGGGAGAACCTCGGGGCCACCTCTGTCATCACGCACATCGTCCCCTGCACCCCACGGCACCACGAGGTTGAAGTCCAGCAGCAACTGCCTGACCTCCTGGGCCCACGCGGACGGCGCGAACCCGATCCTGGGACCCTCCAGCACCATGTAGGGCAGCGCATTACCCTAGCCGCGGCCTCTTCGCAAGCCGCGAGTACGCCTGCTGCAGCACCTCGACGTAGCGTTTGTGCTTGTCTGGCTGGGTGGCTCCATCAGGCGCCGCCGCAGCACCTGCGAGCCATGCCTCCTCTGCCTCCGTGAGGGGTGGGGCTTCTTCGTCCACGGCCATCGCAGGTGCTGCTGGCTCGGCGCCGCTCCCTGGCACTGCTCCTGGAGCATCTGCGGGCTGCCCTGGTGCTCCTGGCGACGCTGCGCCGCGCCCATCGCCCCAACCAGCAGCTGATGGCTCACCACCAGGAGCTGCAGGCACCTCCTCAGCAGCCCTCCGCTCCAGGTCGGCTGCCAGCTTGGCGAGACCTGCTGCCAGCCCAAGCTCCTCGAGGCTGACTCCCACTCGGCCTGCAAGGTGCACGCGCTGCACACGGAGCACGTCCACGTCGTTGGCGACGCCTCGGCTCAGCCCGTCCGCAGCAACGCGCGCCTGGACCTCGACCTGGTACGCGCGAGCCGCCTCCTCAGCCTGCTTGGCCTCCTGCACCTTGGCGCGCGCCGCCTGCAGTGCTGCCTGGCACCGCTGCTCCTCAGTCTCCGCTGCGACCAGCGTGGCCGCCGCCTTCTCGGCGCGGAGGTTGGCCTCGCGCAGCTGCGCAGCCGTGGGCTTGGCGCGGCCCCGCGACTCGCATGCTGACCGCAGCTGCGCCTCCACGTCCGCGAGCGCCTCCGCCCAGTGGCCCGACGAGCAGTCGCACTCCGTCTCGAGCCACTTCTTCTTGCTTCTTGCGCAGCCACTTCTCGACCTCATTCGGCCCCTTGGCCCAAGGCCGCGCATTCTCCAGGCCCGCCCCAGCACCTGCCTTGGCGGACGTGTCCTCCAGGGCCTTGACCTTCGCCTGGAGGGCCTTCTCCCGCTCCTCGACCGCCTTGAGCTTCGCCGCCAGGGAGGCCGCCTGCTGCTTCGCGCCCGCGCCAGCCGCCGACCAGGTACCACCAGCACGCGGCGCATGGCAGTGGGGGTCGCGGCAGTGGGTGCGGAAGCCGAACTGATCGCCCAGCCCACACACCCAGCACTTCCACGCCGGCCCATCGTGCGCTCCCCACTTGCTGCCTGCCGTCCGTGACCACGTGCCTGCGCCGTTGCCCGACTGGTGCAGGGGCCCGCGCTGGCGCCCTGCTGCACGCCCGCCGCCTGATCCAGAGCCGCCCGCAAACTGCGCACCCCGCGCGCCGATGCGGACCCACACCTGAGAGCAAGCCGCGGACTAGCGGTATCCACGTGTTCCCCTGTGGAACCAAGCATCTTGCGCCAAAATGGCGACGCAGGAGGAGGAGGAGGAGGAGGAGGAGGAGGAGGAGGAGGAGGAGGAGGAGGAGGAGGAGGACGAGGAGGAGGAGGAGGAGGAGGAGGAGGAGGAGGAGGAGAAGGGGGAGGAGGAGGAGGAGTAGTAGGAGGAGGAGGAGGGGAGAAGGAGGAGTAGGAGGAGGAGGAGCAGGAGGAGGAGGAGCAGGAGGTTGAGGAGGAGCAGGAGGAGGAGGAGGAGGAGGAGGAGGAGGAGAGGAGGGGGAGGAGGAGGAGAGGAGGAGGAGGAGGAGGAGGAGGAGGAGGAGGAGGAGGAGGAGGAGGGGGACGACGAGGAGGAAGCGGACCATCGGAGCCGCCGATCGGCGCATTGGGGGGCCCAGATCTCGGGAACGCCCTGCTCAGACACGATCGCGTCGTACAAAAAGACAAGACGGGAGAGGTTTTTGGCCCTTTTCGGCCTCGGGCGGCCCTCGCCGGGCCTCGGGACCGTCAAACAAAAAACTCAAGATGAAAAACCAGTCTCGGGGAACGGGTCGGGGCTTCCAGGGACCAGTCGTACTGAAAATATATTAGCGAAGGGCCCGACCATATGCAGTTGGGACTAACGCGTTGTGCGTGCCGTTTTCGGTGGAGCTTCCTATAGGGTCACGAAACGCGTCAGAGACGTGCCGTCATGGGTGAGGGGGACGCATGCGGGTGGTGCCACTGGGGCCTTCGGTGGGGCTCCCTATGGGCCACGAGACGCTGTACCGGGCGTGGCGGACGCATGCGGGCGGTGCCCTTCGCTGGAGCTCCCCACGGGGCCACGAAACGCTATACTGGTTGGGCTAGACGCATGCGGGCGGTGCCACTGGGGTATTTCTGTGGAGCTCCCTACGGGGCCACGAAACGCTGTACTGGGTAGTGGCCGGCGCATGCGGGCGGTGCCAATGGGGGCTTCGGTGGGGCCCCCTATGGGGCCACTAAGCGCTGTGCTGGGAGGTGGGGGCGCATGCGGGCGGTGCCACGGGGGCTTCCGGTCGAGCTCCCTACGGGCCCGCGAAACGCTGCACTGGGTGAGGGGGACGCATCCGGGCGGACCACTGGAGCTCCCCACGGGTCCACGAGACGCTGTACCGGGTGGGGAGGGCGCCTGCGGGCGGTGCCAATCGGGGCTTCACTGGGGCTCCCAATCAGGGGCCGCGAAATGGAGTACTGGGTGGTCGTCGACGCATGCAGGCGGTGCCACTGGGATCTTTCTGTGGAGCTCCTTGTGGGGTGTACTGGATGGTGGCCGACGCGTTTGGGCAGTCCCACTGGGACATTCGGCGGGGTTTCCGCTGGGGCCACGAAACGCTGTGCTGGGTGGTGGCTGACGCATGCGGGCGGCCCCACTGGGACCTTCGGTGGGGCCCCCTATGGGGCCACGGAGCGCCTTGTTGGGTGGTGGCTGACGCATGCGGGCGGTGCCACTGGGGCTTCTGGTGAAGCTCCCTGTGGGGCCACGAAGCGCTGTGCTGGGTGGTGGCTGACGCATGCGGACGGTCCCACTGGGGCCGTCGGTGGAGCTCCCGATGGGGCAACGAAGCGCTGTGCTGGGTGGTGGCTGACGCATGCGGGCGGCCCCAGTGGGACCCTCGGTGGAGCTCCCCACGGGGCCACGAAGCGCCCTATTGGGTGGTGGCTGACGCATGCGGGCGGTGCCACTGGGGCTTTCCGTGGAGCTCCCTATGGGGGCCACGAAGCGTTGTACTGGGTGGGTAAATCGCAAGGAGGAAGGGCTGTGCCGGGTGGTGGTTGACGCACGCGGGCGGTCCCACTGGAATCCGGAACCTTCGGTGGAGCTCCCTATGGGGGGCCACGAAGCGCTGTACTGGGTGGGTGAAACGCAGGCTGGGTGGTGGTTGACGCATGCGGGCAGTCCCAGGGACCTTCGGTGGAGCTCCCTATGGGGCCACGGAGCGCTCCAGGGCGTGGAAGCTGGAGGAAGTTCAAGCGCGGATTGGCCATGCGAAGAACCGTTGTTCTCATCAGACAAGGAGCCCTCCAAAGTCTGGAGCATCCTGGGTACATTCTGTAAGGAACGCCCCCATCGTAGTGGGGAAACCAACAAATACCAGAACCGCTACTCACCAAACCTCTCACGGGTTGCGTTGTGACCAGAATTTCGAGGCGAATCCAGCGGTGACGACGAGGGCCTCCGAGGAGGCCGAAACAGGGGAAAATGAGGAAAGGGTAGAGGTATGGGTACCTCTTCCTCCTCTGACGTAGGGGGGACCAGCTCAGGGAGGGAGCCTCGAGCTCGAATCGGTGGTACAACGCCGATCGATCGGTGATATGCCCTCCGACAGCGACTCCGCACGCTCCTGGGCGGGCGGGCCGTCACCGCCGCCCTGTCGTCAGCTCGACGTCGTCGGCAGGCGTGAGCTCGTCTTTCGTTTGTTCGTCGTCTGTGGGTGTTCCACCGCACACCCGCGCCGCCCACGTAGAGGCCTCCCAGTTGGGGCCCGAGTAGATGGGGTCGAATGATCGCGCCGCATCGCCAATGCATCGGCGATGTATCGGCGATGCATACACGATGCATCAGCGATACATCGGTGACGTCGGCGTGGGGAAACACGTGCTGCACATCGCGCCGCATCGACGATACATCGGCGATGCGGGGCGATCCTCGGACCCCATCTACTCCGACCCCATCTAGGAGTCCTAGACGGCGCTCGAGGTTCCTGTCCATTCTTGCCTTCCCCAGGGTCAGCCCAGAGCGTCTCGAGGTATGGGTGAAATGACGTCAACGTGCGAACTCACGAACGACGAACATATCCACAACCATGCCCTCGCGGGTCGCTCCTGCTTGGGCGCCCGAGAATCCGGGGTAACTCGGGTCCGGGGTAGCTCGGGTTTGGATTCCCGAAAAACAAACCCCAATTAGCCCCGACCCGAATTACCCGTGATAATTTGGGGCTCTGGACGCCCGAATTATCCGGGGTAACTCGGGCCAGGGGCAACTCGGGTTCGGATTCCCGAAAAACGAACCCGAGTTAGCATTGACCCGAGTTGCCCCTGATGACTCGGGGCTCTGACCTGCAGCCAAGGGCCCAGCGTGCGCTGCCCCAGAATCACGCACCCGATGGAAGCCACCTCCTCACCTTTGACGGGGGCCTGCACAGGGTGCGGGATGGGCCCGGGCCCTAAAATTTCGGGTGCACGACTTTGCGAGCGTGCCTGGGAGCTGGCAGGTGCGGCTTGGAGCGGCTGTTTCAGGCAGCCTGCGCGAGCCTATCTGTCCTTGCCTTGCTCGGGCACCGCTTCGTGATGGTGACAGGCGTTCTCGCTCTCTCGGCTCGGCGAACCTTCAAGACAGTCTCTCAGACGATCCCTGGCCCGTCTCCAAACGACCTTAAGGCGCTCAAGGGTAGCCTAAGACAGCCCCACGCAACTCCTTCAGCGCTCCAAGATGCTTCCAGACGGCCAGACGACTGTCCATCACCGCCAAGCGTTTCCGAATATCTCCAGCAAACCCCACAGGTCCACCAGGGGCTCCCAAGAATCCGCCGACCCCCGCTGGCCGGGGGTGAAAAGGCGTGTGAGACATTTGGCTGTTCATCTCCCCCTCTCCCCCCTCCCAGGGTCCCAAATCCAATTTGAGGGGGCGGAGAAGCCCCCGGAGTGATTCGGGAGGCAAGAAAAACTGATTTCCGATCAGCGTTCTCGGCTCTCCGGCGTCTGCGCGCTCGAGACGGCCCACAAAGGCCCCCAGACTGGCCAAAGCCGGCCCAAGAGTCCCTCGAAACGGCCCCGAGACGGCCGAGGCGGGGCCAAAGACGGCCCAAGACGCCCCCAAGACGGCAGAACAAAAACCTTCCTGTGGCCCCGAGAGAAGCCGAACGAGGGGGAACCTGCAGTGGCTCTGGGAGCCCAACCCACAGAATGGCCCCCATGATCCCGACCTGGCTCCAAGGGGCCCCAACAAAAACCCGAAGGGCACCCCAACCCCCCTGCGACGCTCGACAAAGCTCCAAGAGGCCGCCACCTGGGCCGCCACCCGGCCCCGAAGATGCCCCCCCATACGCTCCAAGTGGCTTCAAACATGCTCAAATGAGACGTCCCAGAAGCCCCCGAGAATCCCAAACGAAACAGAGCCCAGACAACATTACAAGCCGTCCCGTCGTCTGCGATATCATCCTCCTTTTCCTCCTTCCCCTCACCGTCGTCGTTATGATTTTCACCCATTTCCTCATTCCCCCTCAGTCCCCGAATCCAAGGGTGAGAAGGTTGAATCGACCATCCGCGACGTCACTCCAGGAACACCTCGCTTCATGCGCGACGCGCACAGCGCTCCCTCCCGAGCGCAGAAAAGCGACTGCGCGGCGGCTACTCCTCCCGCGAACCTGGTCACGTGAAGGCATCCCATGCGCGCGACGGCGTCCAAGAAACAGCCAGCAGGAACAAAGGACGCCCACAGGGCCTCACTTCGTCTGGGGTCGGCGGAATGGCCCAAGCCTCTTGATTAGGATTGACAAGCAGCATAATCATCAACCTTGGAGGTCTGCGCCAATCGACACGGAGCGCGCTAGGGCGGCGCCGGAGGCGCCGCCGCCAGGAGCCCATCGCCGATCCAAGAAATCCAGGCGGACCGTCAGACGTTTATGGTTATGCAACTGTTTCTTCTTCGAACCTTGTTGCTATTACCACTCATGCAGGGCCCAGCCTTACAATACCTTCGGACCTGGCGAAATGACCGCCTGATTGGGCACTCGTGATCTTTGCTATCGCGTTAGCGCGAAAGACAAATAAGACGCGAACCGTTCGAAGATCATTCATGGGCCATTCGCGCGTCAAGAGTCATTACCGGGTTATCCGTTGGCCGTTCGTGGATCAATCTCGTGAGTGGACCATTAGACGGCCAAGTTCATGAGTGGACCAGAATCGAGCCCATTAGTGGAGCCATTCGTGGGCCATCAGCAGGGCATTAGCGGGCCATTCGTGGGGAAATTGGGGGCCATTAGCGGGGCGACAAAACAGCGGGGCATTCCATGTGCGGCTGGCGAGGGGAAGCCCTTCCTGTAACCACGTGTTGATGGACGCTTCGCACCCTGCCGGAAAGGGGGCGGCGAAAGGGAAGGATGGAGAAGGGAGCGGGGCCTGGCCTGGCTGCCGGCCTCGCCCAGAGATGGGAGGAGGAAGAGAACGGAGGAGGAGAATGGAGGAGGAGAATGGAGGAGGAGGAGGAGGGATGAAGGAGGAGGAGGGATGAAGGAGGAGGAAGAGGATGAGGAGGAAGAGGAGGAGAAGGGATTGAGGAGGAGGAGGAGGAGGATGAGGAGGAGGAGTAGGAGGTCAACCAGTGTAAACTCAAGAGTCACCAACGATGTTGGAGTAAACCCTCCCTCCAAGCTCCCTCTTCATAGGCCCCCTACACTGGCTCATTTCCATTGATGGAACTGCCTCGTTGGAAGACACTCGTCTGAAGACCCTGAAACATGCCAAAATATTGTTCTCGGGATTCCAACGCCACGGATCAACCTGACTGTTGCGTCTTGACGATCCTGAATCGTGCCAGAACCTAGGACTTCAACACAGAGAACCAACGTAACTGTTGCACCAGTATACTCCTGAATCCTTCCAAAACACCATGTCTGGTACTATGCTATTGAACTCCGTGAAACTCTTGCAATTTGTTAAACGAATGTGCGCCGCGCTAAAGCGAGAGCCACATTTTGAAAACGACTCGCCCTCAATCCGTGAAGCCCTTGTGAATTATTAAAACGAGTGTGCGCCGCACATGGCGAGAACCACATTTTGAAAACGACTCGCCGTCAATCCGTAAAACTCTTGCACATGTTATAACCAATGTGCGCCGCGCTATGGCGAGAACCACATTTTGAAAACCACCCGCCCTCAATCCGTGAAGCGCTGGCAAACTTTTAAAACGAATGTGCGCCGCGCTAAAGTGAAAGCCACAGTTTGAACACCACCCGTCCTCCATCTGTGAAACTGTTGCCACTTTTTGAGCTTCAGAGTCGCTAGTGGTGAGGAAGTCTCAGGCGAAACGCCCGGCCCGCCCTCAAAGAAAGGCCTCGGGGTGCGACAGGGAGACCTGATTTCTAAGGAAAAGGAATGGAGGAGGAGGAGGAGGAGGAGGAGGAGGAGGAGGAGGAGGAGGGAAGGAGGAGGAGGAGGGATGGAGGAGGAGGAGGGATGGAGGAGGAGGAGGAGGACCGCAATCACGACGACGACGACGGCGGCAGAGCGGCGGCGGCGGCGAGGAGCCGCCGCGACGGGGCCGCAGCACGCGGGGGGGGGGGCAGCGGCATGCCTGAGGGCCAGAGCCGGCGCCATCCAGCTCCTGGTGGCACCGGCGGGGTCCGCACGACGACGGCCAAGGGGGCGGACGGCAGACGATGGTCCCAAACACCCTCGGGGCAATGAAAAACTCACGGCGGGAGATTTTGCGCTATTTTCGGCCTCCGGGGGCCTCGGGACCGCCAAACAATGACTCAGGATGCAAAAACGGTCCAGGGGAATGGGTCGAGACCTCTGGGGTTCGACGTTATGAAAAATCATGACGTCCGGGGTCTGGGGTGGCGGCGGCGGCCGGGAGCCGCCGCCGAGGGCCGCGAGCGGGGGAGCCGCGAGGCCCGCCGCAGCGAGGGGGCGCCGGCACCGAAGAGCCGCACGCCGCCGCCCGGCGCACGCCCGGCGAGCGGCGCGCGGCTCGGGGGGCAGCGGAGGCTGCCGGGTGCTCGGGCGATGCCAGGCGAACGACGACGGTGACGCTGACAGCGGCTGCGGCCAGCGACGATGACTGCGACAACGATGGCGGCGACGCCGATGGCGGAGGCAGGCGGACGACGGGGCGACGTCGATGGCGGCGGGAGATGACGACGGCGGCGACTGCGGCGACCTCGGAGCCAGCGCCTGGGGCGCCGTTGTCTCCGCGCAGTGATTTGTCTCCCCGGTGCTTTCCGAAGCATTCTGTGGTTGTGGGTCCTCGTGTTGAAAGCACAGCGCCCGCGTCACTCACTTCACCTCCCTCCTCTCCCTCTCCCCTGCCCAGATCGGCACACCCCTCACACGTTTCGTAGCTGGAGAAGGAGCTCCGGCTACGGCCCCAGCGGCAATGCTTACATGCGTCCCCGCACCCATCCCGGCACACCCCTCACACGTTTCGTGGCCCTTGGGGAGCTCCAACTGATGCCTCAGTGGCAGTGCTCACATGCGGCCCCGCACTCATCCTGGCGCTTCCCTCAGACGTTTCGTGGCCCTCAAGGGGCTCCAGCTTGAGGGCCCAGAGGCAGTGCTAACATGTTGCCCCGGATCCATTTCGAGGTAATCACCCCTGACTCGCTTCGCATCCCCACGTGGAGTCTCACCAAAGGGCCCCAGTGGCAATGCTCATGTGCGGCCCCGCACCCTTTTCGGCGCACCCCTCACACGTCTGGCGGCCCCATAGGGAGCTTCATCGAAGGCCTCAGCACGCACCCAGTCGGCGCATCCCCCACGCGTTTCCATGAGGAGCTCAACCCAAGGCCCCAGCAGCAAAGTCCGCATAACGTCCCCCGCCCACTTCGGCACACCCCTCACGCGCTTCGTGGCCCCAGAGGGAGCTCCACCTCAGACGCCAGTGTACACGTTCACGTGCGGCTCCCAGCCCATGTCGGCACACCCCATTAGACGTTTCGTGGCCCCATGTGGGAGCTCCATTAGAGGCCCCAGGGGGTGCATCCACAGCGGTTCCATTCAATTCCGACGCATCCTTCACACGTTCCGCCCCCATTGGATGCATCCACATGCGGCTTCCCGCCCATGTAGGCTCACCCCTAATACGCTTCGTGGCCTCTATAGGGAGATCCCCCTCCTTCTTCCAACCTGCATTGCGGTACTCACACCTACATCTGATTAGGTCCTTCGAAAAATAAAGCCGCGATCCACCTCACCGTCATTCCTCCTCCCCCTCCTGCATCTGCTTTCCGCATGCCCATCTGGGCATACCCCTCACACGCTTCGTGGCCCAAAATGGAGCTCAAACGAAGGCCCAACCGCCAGGGTCCGCATGGCGGCGCCGCCTCATTTCGGCACACCCCTCATACACCTCGTGACCACATCGGGAGCCCCAACTGAGGCTCTAATGTCAGGGTCTGCATGGCGTCGCCGCCTCATTTCGGCATATCCCTCGCACGCTTCGCGGCCCCATAAGAAGCCCAAGTTAAGGCCAAATGCCAAAGTCCGCATCGCGGCGCCGTCTCATTTCGACACACGCTTCGTGGCTCCATAGGGGGGCCCCAGCTGTAGCCCAACTGCCAGGGTACGTATGGCGGTGCCGCCCCATCTCGGCACACTCCTCACCTGCTTCTTTGCACCATAGTGAGCCCAAACTGAAGCCCAAATGCCGGGGTCCGCATGGCAGCACCGCCTCATTTCGGCACACCCCTCACACGCTTCGTAGGCCCACAGGGAGCTCCATTTAAGGCCAAAGTGCCAAGGTCCGCATGGCGGCGCCGCCCCAACTAAAGCCCACATGCCAGGGTCCACGTGGCGGCGCCGCCTCATTCCAGCACACCCCTCACACGTTTCGTGACCACATCGGGAGCCCCAGCTAGGGCCCACCTGCAAGGGTCCGCACGGCTGCGCGGCCTCAACCCCTCAAACGATTCGTGGCCCCGCAGGGAGCCCCATGGCCTGTAAGTGTCAGGGTCCGCATCGCGGCGCCGCCTCATCTCGGCATACCCGCCTTCAGTGTCGCACGCCCCTCGCGCGTTTCGTGGCCCCATATGGGAGGCTCCAAGAAGGGCCTGCGGCAGCTTTGCGTCGTTCCGACCACGGCGTTGGTTCCTCACACCGCGGGGATCGTTCAAACTTGAACAGTCGGCCGTTCCAGTAGCGCCGGATCGTTCAACGGCGGGCCGATTCTGGGCCTGGACGGCGTTCAACCTTAAACGCACGCGCTGGGGTCGCCGCCGGTCGATACGACGCGAACCTGCTGAAGTGCCAGGGCCCGCATCGCGTGCCCGCTCCCCAAATCTTCACGCGCTTCGTCACCCGATGCAAAGGGGGCTCCACCGAAGGCCCCGGCGGCGGGGCGGTGTTCGCAGGTCGCGCCGCCCCGCCAGGATCTATGCACGCCTGCATGTCGCTTTGATCGCCCCCTCCTTTTTTATCGCCTGCCTCGCGGCAGTCGCAGCTTCGTATGGCTGGGCCCTTCGCCAGGCTACTTCTTTTCGGCGGCGAGCAAGGGGGTTAGGTGAGGAGGAAAAAGCCTTCTCAAAGGCAGCGGGACTTCTCAGAAGCCCTCGCGCCTTCTGAACAGTAAATGCTGTGTCTTCGGAAGGAACTCAGAACACTTCTCTCAGAAGGCTAGGGGACTCCTGAGCCCTCTGAGAAGGCCCGCCCCTTCTCACTTCCCCCCTGGGCTCGCCGCCGGAGACGGGGGAGAAGAAGGAGGAGGAAGTGGAGGAGGAGGAGGAGGAGGAGGAGAAGGAGGAGGAGGAGGAGAAGGGATGTAGGAGGAGGTGGAGGAGGAGGGGGAGGAGCAGGAGGAGAAGGAGGAGGGATGGATGAGGAGGAGGAGAGGAGGATGAGGAGGAGGAGGAGGACGAGGAGGAGGAGGAGGAGGAGAGGAGGGGGGAGGAGGGGAGGACAAGGAGGAGGAGGATAATACTAATGATGATGATGATGATGATGATGATGATGATGATGATGATGATGATGATGATGATGATGATGATGATGATGATGATGATGATGATGATGATGATGATGATGATGATGATGATGGTGATGATGCTGATGATGATGATGATGATGATGATGATGAGAAGGAGGAGGAGGTGGAGGAGGAGGAGGAGGAGGAGGAGGAGAAGGGATGGAGGAGGAGGACGAGGACGAGGAGGAGGAGGAGAAGGGATGGAGGAGGAGCAAGAAGAAGAGGAGGCGGAGGAGAAGGAGGAGGAGGAATGGAGGAATGCAGGAGGGGGGGAATGGAGGAATGGAGGAGGAGATGGGATGGAGGAGGAGGAGGAGGAGGAGGAGGAGAGGAGGAGGAGAAGGAGGAGGAAGAGGAGGAGGAGGAGGAGGAGGAGGAGGAGGAGGAGAGGCGGAGGAGGATAAGGAGGAGGAGAAAGAATCCAGGAATGGAGGAGGAGGAGGAGGAGGAGGAGGAGGAAGAGGAGGAGGAAGAGGTGGAGGAGGAGGATGAGGAATAGAGGAGGAGGAGGAGGAGGAGAAGGAGGAGGTGGAGGCGGAGGAGAAGGAGGAATAGAAGAAGAGGAGGAGGGGGAGGAGGAGGAGAAGGAGGAGGAGGAGGAAGAGGAATGGAGGAGGAGGAGGAGGGATAAGAAAGAGGGATGGAGGAGGAGGGCAAGGACGATGACGAGGAGATGAGATGGGATGGGATGGGATGAGATGGGATGGGATGGGATGAGATGAGGACACCGACGCGAGAGCGATCCGCGCGCGGCCGCCCGCGGGACGCAGGCGCAGCGGCGCGCAAGAGCGCGGCGCAGGGCGAGGGCCCCCCCGACGGGGAGACGCGGGGCTCAGCCCCTCGCCCGAGCGTCGCCCCGCCCGGCGCGGCGACGGGGGGGGGCTGCCAGCGGCCCGCCGCGCGAGCTCTGCGAAGGGGGGCAGCGGCGGCGGCACTGGCGGCGGCGCTGGCGGGCGCCGCGCGAGGGTCGCGGCGCCCCAGGATCCGAGATGAACCCGATCTCCTCGACGCCCTCCGACACCGCGTGGTACGGAGTCGCCCGGTCGGCTCCTGCCAGGTCCCCCTCGCCGTCGGCAGGGGAGGCGCCGTGAAGGACGGCGAACTGCTCGCGGAGCAGCCTGACCATGGACGGACGCGGCCAATAGGCTCGCTCGGTTCCGGGCCGTCGCGAACGGGGCGATGTCGGCTGGCGGAGCCGCGAGCAGGGGTGACAAGGACTCGAGCTCCAGTTCGTTGACGTCCAAGTCGATCACCAAGACGGAAGCCGTGGTGGCCAGCGCGCGGGAGGCTGCCCCGACTAGGGGCACGCCCAGCACCAAGCACGGGACCAGCAGCCCAGAGAAACCCTCCGCCTACGCGGCCGCCAGTTCGGCAGCCGAGCGGAAGGACGAGGGAAGGGCAAGCAGCCCGCCACAATCTCGCTGCGTTAGCGGTATGGCGGCGAAACTGCGGTCCCCCTCGTCGAGCCTCCACCTGGCGTAGCTCGTCGCGGATGGCGTCTCGAAGGGGCGCAGCTCGGGCCACGCGGGGCCCTCTGGAAGCGCTGGCACAGCAGCCATCGTCTCCTCGCGGGCGCTGGGGTAGGCGCACCCAGCGCACGGCGAACGCGAGCCAGGTACGGGCCCGCGCAGCGGACCGCCAGG